CTTGTGGTCGTTGTAAAAACTATCAGCGCCGGTTAAGGAGATGAAGAAGGGTGTGCATATAACTCCCCATCCCATGCAGGTTGAAGATGGATTCGAGCCGCAGCAAGCCTTGTGGTCGTTGTAAAAACTATCAGCGCCGGTTAAGGAGATGAAGAAGGGTGTGCATATAACTCCCCATCCCATGCAGGTTGAAGATGGATTCGAGCCGCAGCAAGCCTTGTGGTCGTTGTAAAAACTATCAGCGCCGGTTAAGGAGATGAAGAAGGGTGTGCATATTACTCCCCATCCCATGCAGGTTGAAGATGGATTCGAGCCGCAGCAAGCCTTGTGGTCGTTGTAAAAACTATCAGCGCCGGTTAAGGAGATGAAGAAGGGTGTGCATATAACTCCCCATCCCATGCAGGTTGAAGATGGATTCGAGCCGCAGCAAGCCTTGTGGTCGTTGTAAAAACTATCAGCGCCGGTTAAGGAGATGAAGAAGGGTGTGCATATAACTCCCCATCCCATGCAGGTTGAAGATGGATTCGAGCCGCAGCAAGCCTTGTGGTCGTTGTAAAAACTATCAGCGCCGGTTAAGGAGATGAAGAAGGGTGTGCATATAACTCCCCATCCCATGCAGGTTGAAGATGGATTCGAGCCGCAGCAAGCCTTGTGGTCGTTGTAAAAACTATCAGCGCCGGTTAAGGAGATGAAGAAGGGTGTGCATATAACTCCCCATCCCATGCAGGTTGAAGATGGATTCGAGCCGCAGCAAGCCTTGTGGTCGTTGTAAAAACTATCAGCGCCGGTTAAGGAGATGAAGAAGGGTGTGCATATAACTCCCCATCCCATGCAGGTTGAAGATGGATTCGAGCCGCAGCAAGCCTTGTGGTCGTTGTAAAAACTATCAGCGCCGGTTAAGGAGATGAAGAAGGGTGTGCATATAACTCCCCATCCCATGCAGGTTGAAGATGGATTCGAGCCGCAGCAAGCCTTGTGGTCGTTGTAAAAACTATCAGCGCCGGTTAAGGAGATGAAGAAGGGTGTGCATATAACTCCCCATCCCATGCAGGTTGAAGATGGATTCGAGCCGCAGCAAGCCTTGTGGTCGTTGTAAAAACTATCAGCGCCGGTTAAGGAGATGAAGAAGGGTGTGCATATAACTCCCCATCCCATGCAGGTTGAAGATGGATTCGAGCCGCAGCAAGCCTTGTGGTCGTTGTAAAAACTATCAGCGCCGGTTAAGGAGATGAAGAAGGGTGTGCATATAACTCCCCATCCCATGCAGGTTGAAGATGGATTCGAGCCGCAGCAAGCCTTGTGGTCGTTGTAAAAACTATCAGCGCCGGTTAAGGAGATGAAGAAGGGTGTGCATATAACTCCCCATCCCATGCAGGTTGAAGATGGATTCGAGCCGCAGCAAGCCTTGTGGTTGTTGTAAAAACTATCAGCGCCGGTTAAGGAGATGAAGAAGGGTGTGCATATAACTCCCCATCCCATGCAGGTTGAAGATGGATTCGAGCCGCAGCAAGCCTTGTGGTCGTTGTAAAAACTATCAGCGCCGGTTAAGGAGATGAAGAAGGGTGTGCATATAACTCCCCATCCCATGCAGGTTGAAGATGGATTCGAGCCGCAGCAAGCCTTGTGGTCGTTGTAAAAACTATCAGCGCCGGTTAAGGAGATGAAGAAGGGTGTGCATATAACTCCCCATCCCATGCAGGTTGAAGATGGATTCGAGCCGCAGCAAGCCTTGTGGTCGTTGTAAAAACTATCAGCGCCGGTTAAGGAGATGAAGAAGGGTGTGCATATAACTCCCCATCCCATGCAGGTTGAAGATGGATTCGAGCCGCAGCAAGCCTTGTGGTCGTTGTAAAAACTATCAGCGCCGGTTAAGGAGATGAAGAAGGGTGTGCATATAACTCCCCATCCCATGCAGGTTGAAGATGGATTCGAGCCGCAGCAAGCCTTGTGGTCGTTGTAAAAACTATCAGCGCCGGTTAAGGAGATGAAGAAGGGTGTGCATATAACTCCCCATCCCATGCAGGTTGAAGATGGATTCGAGCCGCAGCAAGCCTTGTGGTCGTTGTAAAAACTATCAGCGCCGGTTAAGGAGATGAAGAAGGGTGTGCATATAACTCCCCATCCCATGCAGGTTGAAGATGGATTCGAGCCGCAGCAAGCCTTGTGGTCATTGTAAAAACTATCAGCGCCGGTTAAGGAGATGAAGAAGGGTGTGCATATAACTCCCCATCCCATGCAGGTTGAAGATGGATTCGAGCCGCAGCAAGCCTTGTGGTCGTTGTAAAAACTATCAGCGCCGGTTAAGGAGATGAAGAAGGGTGTGCATATAACTCCCCATCCCATGCAGGTTGAAGATGGATTCGAGCCGCAGCAAGCCTTGTGGTTGTTGTAAAAACTATCAGCGCCGGTTAAGGAGATGAAGAAGGGTGTGCATATAACTCCCCATCCCATGCAGGTTGAAGATGGATTCGAGCCGCAGCAAGCCTTGTGGTCGTTGTAAAAACTATCAGCGCCGGTTAAGGAGATGAAGAAGGGTGTGCATATAACTCCCCATCCCATGCAGGTTGAAGATGGATTCGAGCCGCAGCAAGCCTTGTGGTCGTTGTAAAAACTATCAGCGCCGGTTAAGGAGATGAAGAAGGGTGTGCATATAACTCCCCATCCCATGCAGGTTGAAGATGGATTCGAGCCGCAGCAAGCCTTGTGGTCGTTGTAAAAACTATCAGCGCCGGTTAAGGAGATGAAGAAGGGTGTGCATATAACTCCCCATCCCATGCAGGTTGAAGATGGATTCGAGCCGCAGCAAGCCTTGTGGTCGTTGTAAAAACTATCAGCGCCGGTTAAGGAGATGAAGAAGGGTGTGCATATAACTCCCCATCCCATGCAGGTTGAAGATGGATTCGAGCCGCAGCAAGCCTTGTGGTCGTTGTAAAAACTATCAGCGCCGGTTAAGGAGATGAAGAAGGGTGTGCATATAACTCCCCATCCCATGCAGGTTGAAGATGGATTCGAGCCGCAGCAAGCCTTGTGGTCGTTGTAAAAACTATCAGCGCCGGTTAAGGAGATGAAGAAGGGTGTGCATATAACTCCCCATCCCATGCAGGTTGAAGATGGATTCGAGCCGCAGCAAGCCTTGTGGTCGTTGTAAAAACTATCAGCGCCGGTTAAGGAGATGAAGAAGGGTGTGCATATAACTCCCCATCCCATGCAGGTTGAAGATGGATTCGAGCCGCAGCAAGCCTTGTGGTCGTTGTAAAAACTATCAGCGCCGGTTAAGGAGATGAAGAAGGGTGTGCATATAACTCCTCATCCCATGCAGGTTGAAGATGGATTCGAGCCGCAGCAAGCCTTGTGGTCGTTGTAAAAACTATCAGCGCCGGTTAAGGAGATGAAGAAGGGTGTGCATATAACTCCTCATCCCATGCAGGTTGAAGATGGATGCGAGCCGCAGCAAGCCTTGTGGTCGTTGTAAAAACTATCAGCGCCGGTTAAGGAGATGAAGAAGGGTGTGCATATAACTCCTCATCCCATGCAGGTTGAAGATGGATTCGAGCCGCAGCAAGCCTTGTGGTCGTTGTAAAAACTATCAGCGCCGGTTAAGGAGATGAAGAAGGGTGTGCATATAACTCCCCATCCCATGCAGGTTGAAGATGGATTCGAGCCGCAGCAAGCCTTGTGGTCGTTGTAAAAACTATCAGCGCCGGTTAAGGAGATGAAGAAGGGTGTGCATATAACTCCTCATCCCATGCAGGTTGAAGATGGATGCGAGCCGCAGCAAGCCTTGTGGTCGTTGTAAAAACTATCAGCGCCGGTTAAGGAGATGAAGAAGGGTGTGCATATAACTCCTCATCCCATGCAGGTTGAAGATGGATGCGAGCCGCAGCAAGCCTTGTGGTCGTTGTAAAAACTATCAGCGCCGGTTAAGGAGATGAAGAAGGGTGTGCATATAACTCCCCATCCCATGCAGGTTGAAGATGGATTCGAGCCGCAGCAAGCCTTGTGGTCGTTGTAAAAACTATCAGCGCCGGTTAAGGAGATGAAGAAGGGTGTGCATATAACTCCCCATCCCATGCAGGTTGAAGATGGATTCGAGCCGCAGCAAGCCTTGTGGTCGTTGTAAAAACTATCAGCGCCGGTTAAGGAGATGAAGAAGGGTGTGCATATAACTCCCCATCCCATGCAGGTTGAAGATGGATTCGAGCCGCAGCAAGCCTTGTGGTCGTTGTAAAAACTATCAGCGCCGGTTAAGGAGATGAAGAAGGGTGTGCATATAACTCCTCATCCCATGCAGGTTGAAGATGGATTCGAGCCGCAGCAAGCCTTGTGGTCGTTGTAAAAACTATCAGCGCCGGTTAAGGAGATGAAGAAGGGTGTGCATATAACTCCTCATCCCATGCAGGTTGAAGATGGATGCGAGCCGCAGCAAGCCTTGTGGTCGTTGTAAAAACTATCAGCGCCGGTTAAGGAGATGAAGAAGGGTGTGCATATAACTCCTCATCCCATGCAGGTTGAAGATGGATTCGAGCCGCAGCAAGCCTTGTGGTCGTTGTAAAAACTATCAGCGCCGGTTAAGGAGATGAAGAAGGGTGTGCATATAACTCCCCATCCCATGCAGGTTGAAGATGGATTCGAGCCGCAGCAAGCCTTGTGGTCGTTGTAAAAACTATCAGCGCCGGTTAAGGAGATGAAGAAGGGTGTGCATATAACTCCTCATCCCATGCAGGTTGAAGATGGATGCGAGCCGCAGCAAGCCTTGTGGTCGTTGTAAAAACTATCAGCGCCGGTTAAGGAGATGAAGAAGGGTGTGCATATAACTCCTCATCCCATGCAGGTTGAAGATGGATGCGAGCCGCAGCAAGCCTTGTGGTCGTTGTAAAAACTATCAGCGCCGGTTAAGGAGATGAAGAAGGGTGTGCATATAACTCCCCATCCCATGCAGGTTGAAGATGGATTCGAGCCGCAGCAAGCCTTGTGGTCGTTGTAAAAACTATCAGCGCCGGTTAAGGAGATGAAGAAGGGTGTGCATATAACTCCCCATCCCGTGCTTCATTTCCAGAGATTGGCTCACCAGTGACAGGAAGACGAATGTGAGGTCCCTTGAATCAAGCACGCACACACCTCCATGAGGGAGGAGAGCGCGAGGATGGTGTGCAGCGGGCTCCTCATCTCGTGATTCATGACTCACAGGAGCAGGTTGGAAGGCTGGTTTCATGGCATGCTGGGTGGGATTAGGTACCTAGACTTAGAGCTGGGTGGACCATGCTGGGTGGACCATGCTGGGTGGACCATGCTGGGTGGACCATGCTGGGTGGAACCATGTACCTCCATGAGGGAGGAGAGCGCGAGGATGGTGTGCAGCGGGCTCCTCATCTCGTGATTCATGACGGACAGGAAGTCGTTTCTTGCTTGAATCGCCTCCTCTGCTCTAATCCGCGCCACCTGCAGCGCCGCATTCTGCTCCGCCATCTCCTCCCTGCGCCTCTGCGTGAGCAAGTGGGAATGGGGGGGTGTCGATGAGGGGAGGGGAGGGGAGAGGCGGAGGGGCGAGAGAGAGTGGATAAGGAGTGGGCACCTCCACACATGATTCATGACGGACAGGAAGTCGTTCCTGGCTTGAATCGCCTCCTCTGCTCGCACCCGTGCCACCTGCATCGCCGCATTCTGCTCCGCCATCTCCTCCCTGCGCCGCTGTGTGGGGTCGGGTGGTGGGGGAAAGGGGGAGAGGACATGCTGTATTGGAAAAGAAACTACCCTCTTCTGCACTCACCCGCACCATCTGCATGGCTGCATTCTGCTCCGCCATCTCCTCCCTGCGCCTCCGTGTGTGAGGAATGGGAAGGAATGGAAGGGGTGAAAGACAAGGAGGACGCCATTTGTGTTGACTCAAACGGAGCTGTGTGACAGTGTATCGAGGTGACTATAAGAGCGACTCAAGGGCTACCTGCGACCATTCCAGTACTGCAGCATGTGAGAGGGTGCGAGTAGGGGATTCCTGCCTACCTGCGACTGCTCCAGCGCTGCAGCATGTGAGAGGGTGCGAGTAGGGGATTCCTGCCTACCTGCGACTGCTCCAGCGCTGCAGCATGTGAGAGCGCGAACCCCACTTGGTCCGCCACTGCTATATTCATATTGCTCTCATCTCAAGTCAAATAAAGAATGGAAAAGTGGGGGAGAGAAAGAGTCTATGTCCTGCTTACCTGCGACTCCTCCAGCGCTGCAGCATGTGAGAGCGCGATGGCCACTTGGTCTGCCACTGCTTCCACCATCTCCACCTCGTGCGGCTGCCACTGCCTGGTGGGTGGGGGGAGACAAGGATAGGGATTGTGAAAGGCAGGGGGGGAAAGAGGGGGGACACGGAGTGAGAGGAAGGCGATAGTGACTGGGACTGCCACTGCCTCCACCATCACCACCATCTCCACCAAGGCGCGCGCGTGGACCAAGGCGCGCGCGTGGACCAAGGCGCGCGCGTGGACCAAGGCGCGCGCGTGGACCAAGGCGCGCGCGTGGACCAAGGCGCGCTCGTGGACCAAGGCGCGCGCGTGGACCAAGGCGCGCTCGTGGACCAAAGCGCGCTCGTGGACCAAGGCGCGCTCGTGGACCAAGGCGCGCTTGTGGACCAAGGCGCGCGCGTGGACCAAGGCGCGCTCGTGGACCAAGGCGCGCGCGTGGACCAAGGCGCGCGCGTGGACCAAGGCGCGCTCGTCGACCAAGGCGCGCTCGTGGACCAAGGCGCGCTCGTGGACCAAGGCGCGCTCGTGGACCAAGGCGCGCTTGTGGACCAAGGCGCGCTCGTGGATCAAGGCGCGCGCGTGGACCAAGGCGCGCTCGTGGACCAAGGCGCGCTCGTGGACCAAGGCGCGCTCGTGGATCAAGGCGCGCGCGTGGACCAATGCGCGCGCGTGGACCAAGGCACGCTCATGGACCAAGGCGCACGCGTGGACCAAGGCGCGCTCGTGGACCAAGGCGCGCTCGTGGACCAAGGCGCGCGCGTGGACCAAGGCGCGCACGTGGACCAAGGCGCGCGCGTGGACCAAGGCGCGCGCGTGGACCAAGACGCGCTCGTGGACCAAGGCGCGCTCGTGGACCAAGGCGCACTCGTGGACCAACTCGCTCGCTTGGACCAGGGCTTGAATCCAGGGGGCGGTTTGAATCCAGGGGGCGGTTTGAATCCAGGGGGCGGTTTGAATCCAGGGGGCGGTTTGAATCCAGGGGGTGGTTTGAATCCAGGGGGTGGTTTGAATCCAGGGGGTGGTTTGAATCCAAGGGGGCGGCTTGAATCCAAGGGGGTAGCTTCAATCCAGAGGGGAGCTTCAATCCAAGGGGTATCTAGGCTTTAAAAGGACACCCAGTCGGGTTGGGCCAAAATTCTCAGGCCGCTGACCCAGGCGAGTCGGACCAGGTTTTGCATCGACTCAAAATGAGCCGTGTTTTGGGTCGACTCAAATCAGGGCCCGGGTACACCCAGGCGAGTCGGACTGGGTTTTGCGTCGAATCAGAATGAGCCGTGTTTTGGGTCGACTCAATCATTGCACGGGTACACCCAGGCGAGTCGGACCGGGTTTTGCATCGAATAAAAATGAGCCGTGTTTTGGGTCGACTCAAATCAGGGCTTGGGTACACCCAGGCGAGTCGGACCGGCCCGATATCCGACTCTGAGCATCGGGTCGGTTCGGGTCGGGTTTTTACCCGATTTCGGCCTGGCCCGTTATCATTGTCAGTTATGGCCAAGTCGGGTTGGGTTTGAACCCGACCCCGATACAGTGTTCTTCAACCCAACCACATCTTAGTTGGGTTGTTTGGGAACTCATTTGACTTAGAAAACCATCCGGCCGACGATTCCGCTAGTCTACAACTGAGGCTTCAACACAGCCATTGGTAAATTGACCTTTTACCCATCCCTTCCCCCCCTCACCTCTTCTCGTCCCCATGCAGCACGAGCACCATGAGCCCATACTCCACAACCGACCCGTACTCCATATCAGCAGCCTCGCTACCAGCAAATCCGTCCCTATCTGCACTATTATTGCCACCACCACCACCACCACCACCACCGACAGCACCAACGGCACCAGCTGCAGCCGCAGCAGCAGCAGCAGCACCGTCGTCCCCTTGCTGGCTGGATCGTGAAGCACGAGAGTGTGTGGGCATGTGGATTGCCAGACGAACAGCTGGGGGGGGGAGGGGCGAGGAGGGAGGAGGAGGGGGAGAAGGATCACTTAAGAGATCCAAACAACTCAACACTTGCTAGCTGGATCGTGAAGCACGGGAGTGTGTGGGCATGTGGATTGCCAGACGAACAGCTGGGGGGGACGAAGGGGGAAAAAGGGAGGGAAGGGAAGGGTTGGCTTTGATGCCATCAACTCACCACCACACGTGGAAACATTGCGCTACTTGAGTCGACCTCTCCTCGAGGGGAGGAGGCGGAGCGGGAAGAGGGGGCAATCGGTGATCATCGTGGAAGCAAGCAGCATGATTTGACACAAGTATCACCAATCTGGAGATCTGCTTTTGATCTAGGACGAGTCACCTGCTGGATCCAGGTCGAAACTTTATATGTATGATCCTCGTGGAAGCAAGCAAGCAGCATGATTTGACACAAGTATCTCACCGATCTGGAGATCTGGAAACCCGACACGAACATGACTCCATCGATGCCATGCTCCTCAACAGTCATGGTAACGAGGTGACTTTTGAGTTGACTCAAAAGTCGCCTCGAAACCCGACACGAACATGACTCCATCGATGCCATGCTCCTCAACAGTCATGGTAACGAGGTGACTTTTGAGTTGACTCAAAAGTCGCCTCGAAACCCGACACGAACATGACTCCATCGATGCCATGCTCCTCAACAGTCATGGTAACGAGGTGACTTTTGAGTTGACTCAAAAGTCGCCTCGAAACCCGACACGAACATGACTCCATCGATGCCATGCTCCTCAACAGTCATGGTAACGAGGTGACTTTTGAGTTGACTCAAAAGTCGCCTCGAAACCCGACACGAACATGACTCCATCGATGCCATGCTCCTCAACAGTCATGGTAACGAGGTGACTTTTGAGTTGACTCAAAAGTCGCCTCGAAACCCGACACGAACATGACTCCATCGATGCCATGCTCCTCAACAGTCATGGTAACGAGGTGACTTTTGAGTTGACTCAAAAGTCGCCTCGAAACCCGACACGAACATGACTCCATCGATGCCATGCTCCTCAACAGTCATGGTAACGAGGTGACTTTTGAGTTGACTCAAAAGTCGCCTCGAAACCCGACACGAACATGACTCCATCGATGCCATGCTCCTCAACAGTCATGGTAACGAGGTGACTTTTGAGTTGACTCAAAAGTCGCCTCGAAACCCGACACGAACATGACTCCATCGATGCCATGCTCCTCAACAGTCATGGTAACGAGGTGACTTTTGAGTTGACTCAAAAGTCGCCTCGAAACCCGACACGAACATGACTCCATCGATGCCATGCTCCTCAACAGTCATGGTAACGAGGTGACTTTTGAGTTGACTCAAAAGTCGCCTCGAAACCCGACACGAACATGACTCCATCGATGCCATGCTCCTCAACAGTCATGGTAACGAGGTGACTTTTGAGTTGACTCAAAAGTCGCCTCGAAACCCGACACGAACATGACTCCATCGATGCCATGCTCCTCAACAGTCATGGTAACGAGGTGACTTTTGAGTTGACTCAAAAGTCGCCTCGAAACCCGACACGAACATGACTCCATCGATGCCATGCTCCTCAACAGTCATGGTAACGAGGTGACTTTTGAGTTGACTCAAAAGTCGCCTCGAAACCCGACACGAACATGACTCCATCGATGCCATGCTCCTCAACAGTCATGGTAACGAGGTGACTTTTGAGTTGACTCAAAAGTCGCCTCGAAACCCGACACGAACATGACTCCATCGATGCCATGCTCCTCAACAGTCATGGTAACGAGGTGACTTTTGAGTTGACTCAAAAGTCGCCTCGAAACCCGACACGAACATGACTCCATCGATGCCATGCTCCTCAACAGTCATGGTAACGAGGTGACTTTTGAGTTGACTCAAAAGTCGCCTCGAAACCCGACACGAACATGACTCCATCGATGCCATGCTCCTCAACAGTCATGGTAACGAGGTGACTTTTGAGTTGACTCAAAAGTCGCCTCGAAACCCGACACGAACATGACTCCATCGATGCCATGCTCCTCAACAGTCATGGTAACGAGGTGACTTTTGAGTTGACTCAAAAGTCGCCTCGAAACCCGACACGAACATGACTCCATCGATGCCATGCTCCTCAACAGTCATGGTAACGAGGTGACTTTTGAGTTGACTCAAAAGTCGCCTCGAAACCCGACACGAACATGACTCCATCGATGCCATGCTCCTCAACAGTCATGGTAACGAGGTGACTTTTGAGTTGACTCAAAAGTCGCCTCGAAACCCGACACGAACATGACTCCATCGATGCCATGCTCCTCAACAGTCATGGTAACGAGGTGACTTTTGAGTTGACTCAAAAGTCGCCTCGAAACCCGACACGAACATGACTCCATCGATGCCATGCTCCTCAACAGTCATGGTAACGAGGTGACTTTTGAGTTGACTCAAAAGTCGCCTCGAAACCCGACACGAACATGACTCCATCGATGCCATGCTCCTCAACAGTCATGGTAACGAGGTGACTTTTGAGTTGACTCAAAAGTCGCCTCGAAACCCGACACGAACATGACTCCATCGATGCCATGCTCCTCAACAGTCATGGTAACGAGGTGACTTTTGAGTTGACTCAAAAGTCGCCTCGAAACCCGACACGAACATGACTCCATCGATGCCATGCTCCTCAACAGTCATGGTAACGAGGTGACTTTTGAGTTGACTCAAAAGTCGCCTCGAAACCCGACACGAACATGACTCCATCGATGCCATGCTCCTCAACAGTCATGGTAACGAGGTGACTTTTGAGTTGACTCAAAAGTCGCCTCGAAACCCGACACGAACATGACTCCATCGATGCCATGCTCCTCAACAGTCATGGTAACGAGGTGACTTTTGAGTTGACTCAAAAGTCGCCTCGAAACCCGACACGAACATGACTCCATCGATGCCATGCTCCTCAACAGTCATGGTAACGAGGTGACTTTTGAGTTGACTCAAAAGTCGCCTCGAAACCCGACACGAACATGACTCCATCGATGCCATGCTCCTCAACAGTCATGGTAACGAGGTGACTTTTGAGTTGACTCAAAAGTCGCCTCGAAACCCGACACGAACATGACTCCATCGATGCCATGCTCCTCAACAGTCATGGTAACGAGGTGACTTTTGAGTTGACTCAAAAGTCGCCTCGAAACCCGACACGAACATGACTCCATCGATGCCATGCTCCTCAACAGTCATGGTAACGAGGTGACTTTTGAGTTGACTCAAAAGTCGCCTCGAAACCCGACACGAACATGACTCCATCGATGCCATGCTCCTCAACAGTCATGGTAACGAGGTGCCTTTTGAGTTGACTCAAAAGTCGCCTCGAAACCCGACACGAACATGACTCCATCGATGCCATGCTCCTCAACAGTCATGGTAACGAGGTGACTTTTGAGTTGACTCAAAAGTCGCCTCGAAACCCGACACGAACATGACTCCATCGATGCCATGCTCCTCAACAGTCATGGTAACGAGGTGACTTTTGAGTTGACTCAAAAGTCGCCTCGAAACCCGACACGAACATGACTCCATCGATGCCATGCTCCTCAACAGTCATGGTAACGAGGTGACTTTTGAGTTGACTCAAAAGTCGCCTCGAAACCCGACACGAACATGACTCCATCGATGCCATGCTCCTCAACAGTCATGGTAACGAGGTGACTTTTGAGTTGACTCAAAAGTCGCCTCGAAACCCGACACGAACATGACTCCATCGATGCCATGCTCCTCAACAGTCATGGTAACGAGGTGACTTTTGAGTTGACTCAAAAGTCGCCTCGAAACCCGACACGAACATGACTCCATCGATGCCATGCTCCTCAACAGTCATGGTAACGAGGTGACTTTTGAGTTGACTCAAAAGTCGCCTCGAAACCCGACACGAACATGACTCCATCGATGCCATGCTCCTCAACAGTCATGGTAACGAGGTGACTTTTGAGTTGACTCAAAAGTCGCCTCGAAACCCGACACGAACATGACTCCATCGATGCCATGCTCCTCAACAGTCATGGTAACGAGGTGACTTTTGAGTTGACTCAAAAGTCGCCTCGAAACCCGACACGAACATGACTCCATCGATGCCATGCTCCTCAACAGTCATGGTAACGAGGTGACTTTTGAGTTGACTCAAAAGTCGCCTCGAAACCCGACACGAACATGACTCCATCGATGCCATGCTCCTCAACAGTCATGGTAACGAGGTGACTTTTGAGTTGACTCAAAAGTCGCCTCGAAACCCGACACGAACATGACTCCATCGATGCCATGCTCCTCAACAGTCATGGTAACGAGGTGACTTTTGAGTTGACTCAAAAGTCGCCTCGAAACCCGACACGAACATGACTCCATCGATGCCATGCTCCTCAACAGTCATGGTAACGAGGTGACTTTTGAGTTGACTCAAAAGTCGCCTCGAAACCCGACACGAACATGACTCCATCGATGCCATGCTCCTCAACAGTCATGGTAACGAGGTGACTTTTGAGTTGACTCAAAAGTCGCCTCGAAACCCGACACGAACATGACTCCATCGATGCCATGCTCCTCAACAGTCATGGTAACGAGGTGACTTTTGAGTTGACTCAAAAGTCGCCTCGAAACCCGACACGAACATGACTCCATCGATGCCATGCTCCTCAACAGTCATGGTAACGAGGTGACTTTTGAGTTGACTCAAAAGTCGCCTCGAAACCCGACACGAACATGACTCCATCGATGCCATGCTCCTCAACAGTCATGGTAACGAGGTGACTTTTGAGTTGACTCAAAAGTCGCCTCGAAACCCGACACGAACATGACTCCATCGATGCCATGCTCCTCAACAGTCATGGTAACGAGGTGCCTTTTGAGTTGACTCAAAAGTCGCCTCGAAACCCGACACGAACATGACTCCATCGATGCCATGCTCCTCAACAGTCATGGTAACGAGGTGACTTTTGAGTTGACTCAAAAGTCGCCTCGAAACCCGACACGAACATGACTCCATCGATGCCATGCTCCTCAACAGTCATGGTAACGAGGTGACTTTTGAGTTGACTCAAAAGTCGCCTCGAAACCCGACACGAACATGACTCCATCGATGCCATGCTCCTCAACAGTCATGGTAACGAGGTGACTTTTGAGTTGACTCAAAAGTCGCCTCGAAACCCGACACGAACATGACTCCATCGATGCCATGCTCCTCAACAGTCATGGTAACGAGGTGACTTTTGAGTTGACTCAAAAGTCGCCTCGAAACCCGACACGAACATGACTCCATCGATGCCATGCTCCTCAACAGTCATGGTAACGAGGTGACTTTTGAGTTGACTCAAAAGTCGCCTCGAAACCCGACACGAACATGACTCCATCGATGCCATGCTCCTCAACAGTCATGGTAACGAGGTGACTTTTGAGTTGACTCAAAAGTCGCCTCGAAACCCGACACGAACATGACTCCATCGATGCCATGCTCCTCAACAGTCATGGTAACGAGGTGCCTTTTGAGTTGACTCAAAAGTCGCCTCGAAACCCGACACGAACATGACTCCATCGATGCCATGCTCCTCAACAGTCATGGTAACGAGGTGACTTTTGAGTTGACTCAAAAGTCGCCTCGAAACCCGACACGAACATGACTCCATCGATGCCATGCTCCTCAACAGTCATGGTAACGAGGTGACTTTTGAGTTGACTCAAAAGTCGCCTCGAAACCCGACACGAACATGACTCCATCGATGCCATGCTCCTCAACAGTCATGGTAACGAGGTGACTTTTGAGTTGACTCAAAAGTCGCCTCGAAACCCAACACGAACATGACTCCATCGATGCCATGCTCCTCAACAGTCATGGTAACGAGGTGACTTTTGAGTTGACTCAAAAGTCGCCTCGAAACCCGACACGAACATGACTCCATCGATGCCATGCTCCTCAACAGTCATGGTAACGAGGTGTCTTTTGAGTTGACTCAAAAGTCGCCTCGAAACCCGACACGAACATGACTCCATCGATGCCATGCTCCTCAACAGTCATGGTAACGAGGTGACTTTTGAGTTGACTCAAAAGTCGCCTCGAAACCCGACACGAACATGACTCCATCGATGCCATGCTCCTCAACAGTCATGGTAACGAGGTGACTTTTGAGTTGACTCAAAAGTCGCCTCGAAACCCGACACGAACATGACTCCATCGATGCCATGCTCCTCAACAGTCATGGTAACGAGGTGACTTTTGAGTTGACTCAAAAGTCGCCTCGAAACCCGACACGAACATGACTCCATCGATGCCATGCTCCTCAACAGTCATGGTAACGAGGTGACTTTTGAGTTGACTCAAAAGTCGCCTCGAAACCCGACACGAACATGACTCCATCGATGCCATGCTCCTCAACAGTCATGGTAACGAGGTGACTTTTGAGTTGACTCAAAAGTCGCCTCGAAACCCGACACGAACATGACTCCATCGATGCCATGCTCCTCAACAGTCATGGTAACGAGGTGACTTTTGAGTTGACTCAAAAGTCGCCTCGAAACCCGACACGAACATGACTCCATCGATGCCATGCTCCTCAACAGTCATGGTAACGAGGTGACTTTTGAGTTGACTCAAAAGTCGCCTCGAAACCCGACACGAACATGACTCCATCGATGCCATGCTCCTCAACAGTCATGGTAACGAGGTGACTTTTGAGTTGACTCAAAAGTCGCCTCGAAACCCGACACGAACATGACTCCATCGATGCCATGCTCCTCAACAGTCATGGTAACGAGGTGACTTTTGAGTTGACTCAAAAGTCGCCTCGAAACCCGACACGAACATGACTCCATCGATGCCATGCTCCTCAACAGTCATGGTAACGAGGTGACTTTTGAGTTGACTCAAAAGTCGCCTCGAAACCCGACACGAACATGACTCCATCGATGCCATGCTCCTCAACAGTCATGGTAACGAGGTGACTTTTGAGTTGACTCAAAAGTCGCCTCGAAACCCGACACGAACATGACTCCATCGATGCCATGCTCCTCAACAGTCATGGTAACGAGGTGACTTTTGAGTTGACTCAAAAGTCGCCTCGAAACCCGACACGAACATGACTCCATCGATGCCATGCTCCTCAACAGTCATGGTAACGAGGTGACTTTTGAGTTGACTCAAAAGTCGCCTCGAAACCCGACACGAACATGACTCCATCGATGCCATGCTCCTCAACAGTCATGGTAACGAGGTGACTTTTGAGTTGACTCAAAAGTCGCCTCGAAACCCGACACGAACATGACTCCATCGATGCCATGCTCCTCAACAGTCATGGTAACGAGGTGACTTTTGAGTTGACTCAAAAGTCGCCTCGAAACCCGACACGAACATGACTCCATCGATGCCATGCTCCTCAACAGTCATGGTAACGAGGTGCCTTTTGAGTTGACTCAAAAGTCGCCTCGAAACCCGACACGAACATGACTCCATCGATGCCGTGCCCCCCAACAGTCACGGTAACGAGGTGACTTTTGAGTTGAGTTGACTCAAAAGTCACGTCGAAACCCGACACGAACATGACTCCTTCGATGCCATGGCGTTCGCATAGGCCCCGAGGGGCCCATGCGAACACGACCCCAACAGTCACCCACCTGCCATGGCGTTCGCATGGGCCCCTCGGGGCGTAGACGCCGAGCCAATGAAGGAGGATCGGGAGATGAGGCACGGGTTTGACGTGGCGATCACTGATTGGACGCTCGGGTCCGATATGTGCACGCAAATGGGCACCTGAAAGTACGGGAATGGGCGGGTGGTGTGGTTTGGGAGAATCAAAGGGGTTTTCAGAAATCTCAAAAACAGTGTGCACAGAAAGGCGCCATGTGAGTTCATGAATAGGACCAGGGGGGAGGGGAGGGAAAGAGAAGGGGAGGGGCAAGGGGGGGAAGGGAGGGACAGGGGACTTGCTGTGGGAGACACAGTCGTGAGAGAGAATGGGATGGTACGCTTATAGCACACCACCTATAGTCACACAAACCTCTCCTAGAGTCACATCACCTGCACCAGCCTTCTCTCCAGTTCGTGTGTCAGCTCCAAATACTTTCCCGCTGCAAGCAGCATGTAACACCCCTCATACCTACAGTCACACCACCTACAGTCACATCACCAACATTCAAACTGTTGATTGACATCACCTGCACCAGCCTTCTCTCCAGTTCGTGTGTCAGCTCCAAATACTCTCCCGCTGCGGGTAGCAAGTTAGGGAAAAACACACAGGAGGAGGGGAGGTGTAGGAGGGATGGGGGGCGACTGAGGGATGGTTAGGGTGGGGTGGTCCCGTGTTAATCCACACATGGCGGTGCTAAGTGCTCTCTATGTGTGCTCTATATACTCACACACTCACAGGGGTAAGGCACACTAACAGGGGTCAGGCATCCAGACAGTTGCAGTTCTCGAGCATGAGTGCCTGGGCGAGTTCGACTAGTGTGGTGTTGAGGACGGTGGGACTCCTCTCACCTCATCAAGCATGCACCTATGCACGCCCTCACAGGCATTGGGCGCACTCACAACTGTGCACACACTCACAGGGGTCAGTAGCACACACTCACAGGGGTCAGTAGCACACACTCACAGGGGTCAGTAGCACACACTCACAGGGGTCAGTAGCACACACTCACAGGGGTCAGTAGCACACACTCACAGGGGTCAGTAGCACACACTCACAGGGGTCAGTAGCACACACTCACAGGGGTCAGTAGCACACACTCACAGGGGTCAGTAGCACACACTCACAGGGGTCAGTAGCACACACTCACAGGGGTCAGTAGCACACACTCACAGGGGTCAGTAGCACACACTCACAGGGGTCAGTAGCACTCACAGGGGTCAGTAGCACACACTCACAGGGGTCAGTAGCACACACTCACAGGGGTCAGTAGCACTCACAGGGGTCAGTAGCACTCACAGGGGTCAGTAGCACACACTCACAGGGGTCAGTAGCACTCACAGGGGTCAGTAGCACACACTCACAGGGGTCAGTAGCACTCACAGGGGTCAGTAGCACACACTCACAGGGGTCAGTAGCACTCACAGGGGTCAGTAGCACACACTCACAGGGGTCGGGCATCCACACGGTGCAGTTCTCAAGCATGAGCGCCTGGGCGAGCTCCACTAGCGTGGTGTTGAGGATGGTGTGGCGGTCCAGGGACTGGCGGATCTCGTATGTTAGCATACGCACATGCCGCCCCACCTGGAGGGGAGGGAAAGAAGGAACGGGGAATATGCAATGTCTCGAGGCCTGGGAGAGCTCGACTAGAGTGGTGTTGAGGATGGTGTGGAGGTCCAGAGACCGGCGGATCTCAATATGTCAGCATGCGCACGACGCCTCACCTGGGGAAGAAAAAGGCATACGGAGGGAAAAAGGGGGGTTGAGATGTCTCATCTCAACAGTGTTTGGGTAATGTGTGGCGGTCGGTCAAGAGACTGACAGATCTCATATGTCAGTATGCACACATGGCGACCCACCTGTGAGAAAAGAGAAGGGGGGAAGGGGTTCGAATTGAACTTGAGACGTCTCAAGGCTGCTGAGCATGGTGTGACGGTCCATCCAGAGACTCGTATCGTATGTCAGCATGCGCACCTAGCGCCCCACCTGAGGGGGAGAGAGACTGATTTGTGCGTCAGGGAAAGAGACGCGGGTGGAGGGGTGGAGAGGAGGGAGGCAGGATATGATGGTGTGGCGGTCCAAGCAAAAGGATGGAAGGAAAGAGGGGGGTAGGATGACGGGGAGATGAGGGGGAGGGGGGGAATAGAGAAGTGAGCAGCAGAGGGATGAGAGCAAAGAAGAAGAAAAAAAAACACTTTCGCCTTTCCCCTAAGTAATCGACATCTTGCCTTGCTTCCTCTTCTCTTCTTGAGTCGCCTTTCTACAAACCAACCCCCCACTTAGCCTCACCTCCTCTCTTCTTCGAATAGCATCCATCTCCCGATCCAGCTGTGCAGCCTTGTGCTGCAGCGAAAGCTCCCGAACCTGCCAGGAAGGCATGGCACGGGAGGCAGAGGGGCTAGATATGGACGCTGGGCAGCTGGATTGCTAGCCGAATTCAAGTGTATGTGCACGACAAGCTATCAGCAAAATTTGCTTGCTGATAGCCCCCCAGTCGAATCTCGATAACCAACTAATCACGCAGGGGCACGGGCGAACTATCAGGTAGTCATAGGTGCATTCGGAGAGGCCACTCGAAAGACGACACCTGGATAGAGCTCCAGGATACGCAGACTGGGAACGCCGCGCAGAGCACCTTGAGCACCTTCTGCACGACCCTCAGCTGCTGCAGGTGCTGAGAGTCGACCCAAAAGGACACGTCTGGACGGACAAAGGCACTTGCCTTGAACTTGAGGAGCGAGGGGATGATGGTGAAGAGCACAAAGGCTGTGCCCCATGAGACGGCCGCACAGAGCACCTTGAGCACCGTCTGCACCACACTCAGCTGCCGCGGGTGCGCACCGTACGTCCACACGTTCACCAGGTGGGTCAGGCCTGGTGGGGGCAGGGGCGAAAAGGCGAGGGGTGGGGAGGAGAGGAAGACGAGGCGTGAGGGGCAGGGAGAAGGAGAGTAATGCCTGAGCTAAAGTCAGGTGCCGCAGGTGTGCTCCGAACGTCCACACGTTCACTAGGTGGGTCGGACCTGGTGGGACAGGGCGATGGGCGAAGGGAGAGGGGCAAAGGAATGGGGGAGGGAGAAAAGAGGGGAGTGGGGACTGCTGAACGCATACAGAGCACGCTGAGCTGAGCAACATAGAGAAGAGCACGCGCCACAGAGCATGCATGCAACAAGGGGATATTCGCACCGCAGAGAACAATGAAGAGGCTGAAGAGCAGCATGACCCAGCGGTGTGAGAAGGTCCTGGCCCTCAGCGTGAAGTATGCGAGCTCGAGTGGGATGGACAGGTACGCCAGCGCGATTAGGACAGGCCCAGAGGTGACCACTGGCACTGACCAGCCCCAACCAAGGCAGCAGCATGCACCCACTCACTCACCACAGAGGACAATGAAGAGGCTGAAGAGCAGCATGACCCAGCGGTGTGAGAAGTTCCTGGCCCTCAGCGTGAAGTATGCGAGCTCGAGTGGGATGGACAGGTATGACAGCGCGATGAGGAAGTCGCTCGCCACCTGGCAGCGCGCCAGGCTGTCCTCCATCAGCGCTGAGTCATCGTCGCACGTGCAGAAGAAGGGTAGCACGTGGGGCTTGGGGTGCAGGCTGGGGGGGAGGGGGGGTGCATGGGGAGGGCAGGGGAAGAAGAGAGAGAGGGAAAGGGAGGAAGAGAGTATGGGAGTGGGATAGGTGGGGGGTCTTGAGTCAGGCTGTCCGTCCTCCATCAGCACTGAGTCATCATCGCCCGTGCAGAAGAAAGGAAGGGAGGGAGGGAGAGAGGGAGGGAGGGAGGGGCGTGGGGCTTGGGGTGTCGGTTGAGAGACAGGGAAGAAGAGAAAAGGGGAGGCCCGAGGGGGGTCTTGAGTCATGGTGCTGTCGATCAATGCTTCGTGTTTTGAGTCGGCGCAAAACGCGGGGGTTCTTAAGTCATGGTTTTGTCTATAAATGCTGAGCCACCAGCGCTGAGTCATCATTGCACGTGCAGAAGAAGGGCACCACGTGGGGCTTGGGGTGCCGGTTGAGAGACAGGAAAGAAGGGAGAAGTGGGGGCGCGGGGAGAGCCTTGAATCATGGTGTTGTCTAGTGGGGAGGCGGAGGGAGTGAGGGTTTTTCTGCCACGCCGGCCTCATGAATGCTGAGTCATCGTGGCACGTGCAGAAGAAGGGCATGGGGTGCAGCAGGTGGAGGGTGGGGTGGTCGGGGTCGATAGGGAAGGGGATTTGGAGGAAAGAGAGGCCGGGGGAGTGGGGGTTCTGCAGCCAGCCAGGATGGACCCACGAATGTTGAGTATGTGCTTTTCGAGGCTTCGTGGGAAGGGAGGGGAAGGACAGGGGAAAAGGAGGGGAAGAGGAAGGGAGGGAGTGGAGAACTCACCCGAAGACGCCGGAGGGAACGTTTAGCGCTGTGACGCCGGCCGCGAGGACGGCGGAGACGGCAGCAATGACTGTCACCGCAGTGAGGTTCACCCCGCTCGCCATGATCACGACGAGCTTGACGGACTTGACGCGTTGGAACGGAAACTGAAACGGCACAGTTTCGAACCACCCTGAGTCGCGCTGCGCGGTCTGTCGGCCCCTAGATGAAGTCCGAGGGATTTAAAAGTTCACACAACGTTGTATGATAACGGAGACATCCGGAGAGCATTTATTGCGCAATGCCGGCTTACTGAGTCAGTATGACAGTTCTCACGGTCGTCGGGGCAATGCGGTAACGAACAGTAGAGTTACCAGGTGGGCAAAGCATACGGTTACGTTGTTTGCGAAAAAGGGTGAAGATTGTTAAACGCCTGTGCGAGCTAAACCGCAGAATGCGGGGGAATGAAGCGAGGAGAATGGATTGTGCAAGCGAGGCTCGTCGTTATGATCCTCGAGCGGGGAAAACTGGGTGGATGCAGCAAATATGTGGTAGCGGACTGGCTGAATACTGTAGTTTGGAACTTGAGCAGAAGTAAAAGCTGTTACTTCCGGCGACCGAACAGTAATGGATCGCGTTATGGTAAGAAAGTCGAGCGCTAGGAGCGTGGGTTAGGAACACCAGCGAAGGCCCGGGGTCGGTCGGTCGTCGTTTTCGAATGAATTTGATTGGCTTGCTCAGCCACACAGGTAGCCTCTTCCTTCATGAATTTGCGGAAAGGTGAGAAAAGGCTTTGGCCGAAGTTTCTGTATTTGTACAGGCTGCACTGCACCATCAGGGGGAGGTCCTTTGTGTCAGGCCTGAGGGAAGGAAAAGGAGCAGGGGTAGAGGAGATGCAAGGGAATGAACTAGTCTGCACTCCACTGCCACGGTTGTGCTTGGTGCGTAGCGTTTTCGAGCGTTGTAAAGAGATGACTGCTGATTACCGTACTGAAGATTAGCAAGCGAAGTAATGGAGGGAAGGGTAAACTACGCAGGTGAGGGTCGGTGACAGGAGGTGGGAAGGGATGTGGACGGATGCCTGCGTACCTACACGGTTTGTTGATGACGTCGAGCTTTGTTGATGCCCACCTCGAGCTTGCCGCCGAGGGTTGCCATTGCCAAGTTGCCATCTCCAAACAAGCCTGTGCCGCAGAGCTGTAAGGAAAATTCCTTACACAGTCAGCACCGTTACCACTCGCAACCCTCGCATCGACAATCTGCCCGCCACCTTCGCACATCGCACCCCGACCTCACGGCTCGGCGGGTAACCCGCGCTCCGGGCCTCCGCTTCGACACTTTTTCCCAACCTCAGTCCCAGGCCCGTCGCGCGACAACCACAGTCCATTACCGTTACCACTGTAGTTTCGCTATATATTCTTCGCTCATGCCTTCGCTCATTGTACTCTTGCTTCGATAGTGCAATTCTCGTTCGTTCACTCAATTGCACTCGTAACACTTGGTATTCAGAGCCTACGACCTCTTCTCGGACCGCACCCACACCTTCGCTTCCCCACTATCTCAATTTTTGGGGGGGGTAGACGTCCCTCAGCGACACAGCACCGCCGCTCGTAGTGCTCTCTCGTAAGCACGCACGGCCACGACTGAGGCTCTCGCTGAGCTCGCCCGACACCCCCGCCATGGCCGAATTCACGCTCGCCACATTGACGCAGGAGCAGCTCGACCGTCTGGTGCGCCAACTCGAAGATTCGGCGCTCGAAATTGCGACGCTCACGGCGGAACGTGACTCCGCGCGTCAGCAATCAACGATGAACACTCCAGCGCCACCACACGCACCGACAAATGCATCTGCACAATCAGACGAGCCGATCGTCATCTCGTCCGGCACACCAACACAAACCAACAGCGTGGGACAGCGCTCAGGCGCAGCCAGCGATGGCGCCGCCCAGCCGATGCCTGGCATGGGAGGAAACAGGGTCGCACCAAGCCCGCGGGAGCCTCGCGAAGCCCGTCGGCACGTGGAGTTCGCGGCGACAAGTGGCGAACAGGCCATCATGGCACCAATGCCACTCAAGCCGCAACGCCCGCCCTGTTTCGACCCGAGCCAGCGTGGAGGTCCGACGGTTCAATCGTGGGTCTTCACGATGAACGTCTTCTTCGACGCGAATTACGTCGAGTCGGACGCAGCGAAGATTCGGTATGCAGTTTCGCTGCTAAGGGGCCCCGCCATGGACTGGTGGCGAGTCATCGTGACGTCGCCACGCGCCTACGAGCCACCGTCGCAAGAGGAAGGGCCCACGGGTCCAGCTGTCACCTGGAGTTCATTCTGCGAGACCGCCCAATACAGCACGTGGGATGCGTGGTGCGCAGGGCTTCGGGCGCGCTTCGAGCCGATCGCGGCTTCTATTTCGGCGCGTCAGAGATTGCGCACTTGGCGGCAGCTCGGGTCGGTTCAAGATTACACGAGCGGTTTTCTCGCACTTTGCGAGCAGGTCGGCTACATGCACGAAGCGGAGCGGGTGGACCGTTACGTCGGAGGGCTGAAGCCGGATATTTCGCACGAAATCATGCTGCGCGGACTCTCAAACTTCAACGAGATTCTCGCGCTCGCCGAGAAAATCGACATTCTACGCCGACCGAGACCGGGGTCCTACTACGGACATCGTCCTCGGGGACCGATCAAGCACGCCACTGTAAACGCTGTTGCAACGAATGCAGCTGCCGCACCGTTTAAGGGGCGCTGCTTTGCTTGCAACAGGCCGGGCCATCGCAAGAGCGAATGCCCAGAGGAGCTAAGACGCCGCGGAGCAGAGCAGGGAAGGGAGTCTCAGAGGCAGGGAAACGCCAGCAGTCAGTAGAAGTTGGGCCAACTACTGACGAGACTGCCTGCTCGCCCAACCGCACCGACCCTCACCGAGTCACAGTACCGATTCACGCCATCGATCGGGCTCGGATGAATAAGGAGGGTACAACGACGGATTGCCCAGTACTGATCCACGGGAAAATACAGGGAGCAGCATGAAGATTTTTATCGACGGAGGAGCAAGCCACAGTTTAGTTAATACCGCAACCGCACGAAAACTGCAGCTGACACTTAGCCGTTGCTTACCGGAGATAGACGCACGCTTAGTCGACGGCACGCCACTGGCCATACGGGAAAAGGTAGAGAGATTCAAAGTCCGCTGCGGGGGAAATTTCGGGTTTACACAGGAAATGCTCGCAACGACACTGGATGAGCACGATATTTTACTGGGACGTGATTGGCTGCGACGATATAACCCGCGAATTGACTGGACGACGGGTAGCTGCACCGTGCGAAGTAGTGGTAACTGGGTCGAGCTACCTCGCAGGCAGTCGCCCGAGTCTTCAACGGTACACGTCAACGCTATCACAATGAAACGGGCTGTCGCTGCTGGAGCTGACGTGTACGCAGTAGACATCGCAGTAGTAGAGGAAGCAGAGCAGCCGAGTGATTTCAAGAAACTCCTGGCAGCCGTACCGCCCGAATTACAGGAACTGTTGAAACGATACCCCGGGATTTTCCCCGACGACTTACCGGAAGGACTGCCACCTCAGCGAGCACATGACCACCGAAACGGATTAGAACCGGGGGCACAGCCAACCGTACAGCACCAGTTCAGACTGACACAGCCCGAGCTCGACGAACTAAGGAAGCAGTTAGATTACCTGTTAGAGAAAAAATTCATCAGACCGAGCTCGTCACCGTTCGCCGCACCGATACTATTCACGCCGAAAAAAGACGGGGGTTTTCGCATGTGTATCGACTACAGAGCACTGAACAGGGTAACAGTCAAGTCGCGGTACCCAATTCCCCGCGCCGACGAACTGATCGACCAACTGCGAACAGCACGGGTTTTTTCGAAAATAGATTTACGGGGAGGTTACCATCAGATTAGGGTCGAACCATCGGACTGCGCCAAAACAGCTTTCAGGACTAGGTACGGGTCGTTCGAGTACACTGTGATGCCATTCGGGCTGACCAACGCACCGGCGACTTTTCAGATGACCATGAACGAGGCGCTCTTAGATAAATGTGTGATCGTTTACCTCGACGACATCCTAGTGTACAGTCGGGATAAGCAGCAGCACTTAGCAGATCTGGAAGAAGTGTTTAAGGTTTTAGACAAGCACAGATTACTGACCAAGGGTTCCAAGTGCGAGTTCTTCCAGAATAGGTTAGAATTTTTGGGGCACGTTATTTCGGAGGCTGGAGTTGAAATCGACCCAAAGAAGCTGGATACGGTAAAAGCGTGGCATCCCCCGACGAACATCACGGAGCTGCAGAGCTTTTTAGGGTTCGTTAATTATGTACGTCGGTTCGTCCCCGATATGGCACGGTTAACTGCCCCACTGACGGACTTACTGCGGAAGGGGGTCGCTTTTACGTGGGGGGAGAAAGAGCATGCTGCCTTCTCTGCCCTGAAAAATGTTCTCTGTTCCCCGCCCGTCCTGCGCATCGCCGACCCACACCGCCCATTCGAAGTAGTTACCGACGCAAGCGATATCGCCATCGGAGCCGTACTGCTACAGGATTTCGGCAATGGCCTACAGCCTATCGCATACGAGTCACGAAAACTGCATCCGCCCGAGAAAAATTACCCGATACACGACCGCGAAATGCTTGCGATCGTGCACGCGTTCAAAGTATGGCGCTGTTACTTGACTGGCGCGGACGTGACAGTACGGACAGACCATAAATCACTACAGTACCTTCGCGCACAGCCACACCTCAACCCACGACAGATCCGCTGGCTCGATTTCCTTGAGTCCAACTTCCACTACACAGTCACCTATAAAAAAGGAGCCTCGAACATCGCCGATGCACTGACCCGCCCTACTGCCCAGATCCACGCGATACTACTCGCCCAGACCAGCCCGCTACTGACAGGACTATTTACCCACGGATATCAAACGGACCCATTCTTCACAGGAGGAAATTCGCAGCAGTTCGCAGCAGCCAAAGGAGTCTATTACGTAAAAGTCGGGACCGACCGCATCTGGGTACCAGGGTACACACTGCTACGGGAATTACTATTACAAGAGGCACACGACGGGGTTACCTCGGGACATTTCGGGGTAGAGAAAACACGGCAGCAGCTGCAGCGGTATTATTACTGGCCCGAAATGTTGACCGACGTGCAGCGACACGTGGCATCGTGTCCCACTTGCCAGATCATGAAGTCAACACGGAAGCGGCCGGCGGGACAGTTGCAGCCAATCCCCCCTCCAGAGCGTGCTTGGCAGCAAGTGACGATGGACTTCGTCACGAGGTTACCGGCCGGGGCGAGTGGAAATGACGCGATCCTGGTCGTCGTCGATCGACTGACGAAAATGGCACACTTCGCAGCCTGCAAAAAATCAATCACAGCCGAAGAAACAGCCCGCCTCTTCATCTCTACCGTCGTTCGACTGCACGGGATACCAGCATCGATCATCAGCGACAGAGACACGAAATTCACCAGCAACTTCTGGCGGAACCTGTGGCAGCAGTTCGGCACGCGACTACAGTTTAGTTCATCGTACCACCCCGAAACAGACGGACAGACAGAACGGACAAATCAGACCATGGAACAGCTCATCCGGGCCACATGCGACGACCCAAACACGTGGGAACAGCAACTGCCACTCATCGAATTCGCATACAACAACGCCCCATCCGCCACGACCCAACAGTCACCGTTTTACCTGAATTACGGACAAAACCCAACAGTACCCATGACCCCGAATCCCGACAATCCGGTTCCACGCGCGCAACAGTTCGCCGAAATATTACAAGCAGCACGGACCCGGGCAGTAGACGCAATAAAAAAATCGAACATCATCGCTAAACGCAACGCCGACCGCCACCGCAGACCCGTCACTTACCAGCCCGACGACTTAGTTTTACTTGACACTCAGAACCTCCGACTTCCCATCACTCCGAAACTCCGCCCCCGATACTGCGGGCCATTTCGCATAAGCCACATGCTTACACCCGTCACCGCCCACCTCCTCCTCCCTGCTGACTGGTACGTCAGCCCCTCATTCCATGTCAGCCTACTTCGCCCTTACGTCCCGTCCACGAGCCAACTGCCACGCAATCGCCCAGCCAGCATGACAAGACCACCGACTGAACCGATCATCACCCCCGAGAAAATCCTGAGTCACAGAGTTCGCGACCCTCGAGGAGCCCGAAGGATCGAGTTCTTACTCCGCTGGAAGGACCGTACACCCACCGAAGACAATTGGGTTCCCCTGGACAGAATCGAAAACCACCCCGTCCTCACCGAGTATCTGCGCAGCCGGAATTTCAGGGATGTACACGCACTTTCGTAAGGAGGACCTCCTTAAGGGGGGGGGGTAGTGTAAGGAAAATTCCCTTTCCTTACTTCGCATCCCTGCTCAACGCGTACATCACTGTAGCACCACAGTCAGCACCGTTACCACTCGCAACCCTCGCATCGACAATCTGCCCGCCACCTTCGCACATCGCACCCCGACCTCACGGCTCGGCGGGTAACCCGCGCTCCGGGCCTCCGCTTCGACACTTTTTCCCAACCTCAGTCCCAGGCCCGTCGCGCGACAACCACAGTCCATTACCGTTACCACTGTAGTTTCGCTATATATTCTTCGCTCATGCCTTCGCTCATTGTACTCTTGCTTCGATAGTGCAATTCTCGTTTGTTCACTCAATTGCACTCGTAACAAGAGCACACGCGACAGCGAACATGTCGGCGATGGACAGACTCTACACTACACCTCAGCAAGTTCGGGTTCGCTATACCCAGTTGTTATAGTGTGGCCTGTGGAAAAAAGTGGCCAACAGGAAGGGCAAAAAGGTCTTTGCCCGTCTGCATTTTTCAAGGTCAAATTGAATTAATGCCTCAAGTTAAGGGAACCATAGCTCTATGGCCACCAGAACCAGACCAGACGGAGGCATGGGAGAGTTGATGTACCAGATTCCACTCTTTAAGGAATTACAGTACCTGACAATAAAGACGAATTTCTTCTAGAGGCCATCCTTGCATAAGTGGCTTCCTCCATACTACGACTGACAAACACCTCTGTAAATCCCTCTCTTGCCATAACATCGAGACACGCCTTTCTCCGTAACTTGCCATCTTTCAACAACCGGTCATGAAACTCTAACAACACTTGGCCAACCGGGAGGGGAGTGTCCATCCTTAACCATTCATCGCAGATATCAAACTCAACCCCTTCAACATCTATCTTCAACACGTCAATGAACCCATGTCCATTACTGCACATGAATGTTGGTAACCGCATGACTGGTGCCGGCATGCCTCGGCTTTCGTACCGCTTTGACAGCTCCTCGTGCTTCACAGCTGTCATGGATTTCAGGCGGGGATTCTTGGGACTGAAGAAGGTGATAATGCCGTCTACAGCCCCAATGCCAACCTGGCAGAATTGGAAAGCGGATGGTTGGTCGCGCTCATGGTTGTTTTTGAATAAGCTGCTCACATGATCTGGGGTCACGGTGGGATCAAAACCGAAAACCTGAAGGGAGGGTGGGAATGGAAGGACAAGGGGTGTACGAGAGAAGGTAAGAAAACGACTTCCAAAAGTCAAGGGACGAGCGCGACAGGGGGGGGAACACTGGCTCGAGGCAAGACGTGGAATAGCCCGTTAGAACAAGAGGGTTGTATGTGCGTGTGTGTGGAAAAAGCAGGGGAAAGGTGGTGGGGAGAGGTGGGGATATAAAGTAGCAAGAGAGGGTGGGAAGTACCTTGTAGCCTCGATTCACCATTTCATTGTCAAACGACAGCAATGACTCGAGTCAAGGCACTAGCATAACTCTTGGAAAGAGGAGGAGGATGGGCAGGTGGATGGGTGTGTGTGGGGGGTGGAAACATCGTACCTTGTAGCCTCGGTTCACCATCTCATTGTCAAACGACACGTCGCCTCCGATCCCAAACGAGTACACTATGCCACCTGGCCGCAGGTGATTGGTGCAGAGCGTCCATGCGCCGTAGCCGTCCTTTTTCCTGCCGCCCAGCTTCTCCAGCTTGCACGTCTCGTGCACCACCAGGTGCAGCTGAGAGTCATCCAACCTGTTGTGACAGGAGTGTATATTTCGGGAGTGTATATACATAATCAAACCTTCTTCCGAGATTCTCCAGCTTGCAAGCCTCGTGCACCACCAGGTGCAACTGAGAGTCATCTAACCTGTTGTGATGAGAGCAATAATATACATATAATATATATGAACAGGCTGTTCAGAGCTTCTGCTGCCTAGCTTCTCCAGCTTGCATGTCTCGTGCACCACCAGGTGCAGTGCAACTGACAGTCATCCAATCTGTTATGATGAGAGAAATTTTCAATCGATTCTCGAGATTATTCTGCCAACCTGGCTTCTCCAGTTACACGACCAGGCGCAACTGACAGGGGAGATGATGAGACCGAGGGATGGGGAGATGATGAGACCGAGGGATGGGGAGATGATGAGACAGAGGGATGGGGAGTTGATGGGACAGAGGGATGGGGGAGATGATGAGACCGAGGGATGGGGAGATGATGAGACCGAGGGATGGGGAGTTGATGAGACCGAGGGATGGGGAGATGATGAGACCGAGGGATGGGGAGTTGATGAGACCGAGGGATCGGGAGATGATGAGACCGAGGGATGGGGAGTTGATGAGACCGAGGGATCGGGAGATGATGAGACAGAGGGAAGGGGTGATAATTGGACACAGGGAAAGGGGGAGGATGAGACAGGGGGAATGGGAGATGATGGGACCGAGGCACAGGAGGAGCACCTGGTGGCATCAATTCAGCAGGTCATTGCGACGACACGTAGGGGAGGCGGGTTGGGGTGCTGCTGAGGCTCATCTGAGATTCAGTTGAAAATTATATGAGAATCACCCACCGGCACAAGTGGAAGGTCACTGTACTGTGGTCGCGAATCGAGCTTAACCTTTGAAATCTCGAGGACGTGGATCATCTCGCGACTTTTGAGGCACCTCAAGAGCCGGGAATAGAGCTTACCCAGTGAAATCCCGAGGACGTGATTCGTCTTGAGGATTCGAGAGGCCATCCTGCTTCTGCTGCTCTTGAAATTGCCGCTGCTGCTGCTCCTGCTGTTGCTGCTGCTGCTGCTCCTGACCTCCCGCCTGCAGCTGCTGCTGAGGGGGTTGTTGCGGCGCGAAATTCACTAACGGTTGTCGCTGCGGGTCCTGCTCCTGCTCCCCCTGTTCTTTCTGCTGCAGCGGCTGCTGCCAGTTGCCTGGAAAAACATTATCCTGCCCGTTCTGCCCCAACTGTCCGTCGTGAGAAGAAACCCAACCTGGGACGGCATTTCCGATCGCATTGGATCGCGGCTGAGAATTAATGACGGTGGTGTACGAGTCTTGTCGCACGGTCGCATGACCCGGCGTGCACGCCTCGGAACACTTGCAACCGACCTCGTAACTGCGAAACAGGTACACTTGCACGGCGAGCGCGACGACACAGAGCACATGCCACGGTTTAATCTGAGCGACGAAAATGCCAAGCGGAGATGAAGCAACGGCTGCGGGTGCAGCAGTTTGAATTTGAAACGGCCAATGCAGTAGGTTGTGATAAATGGACGCCATGCCAATGGCATCGACGAAGCAGGTATGCTAAGTTGGGTATCTTGAATCTTGATTCCCCGCTCACACGAATCCTCTGAGTACAAAGAAATGAGGGAATACCGAAAACAAAATCGTCTTCAGCATTTGGACGGAGTTTAGAGATCTTCTATATATACCTGTATACGAAATGTAGCTACACATGAAGAACTAAGGGAAAATATGCCACAAGTAACCAACTTGGGACTCGATAACGTAAATGGTAATAAAAATATGTGTAGGGTCACTGTATCGGGTTTCCTGACGGGTTTGGTAAGCGGGATCACGGATTCAGTCACTAACAATAGGTAAGAAATCACGCGAATGGTCACACATGTAACTCCCGCCAAAAAAACTTGAAACTCAACAAAATTCCCTCTCGCGCCCAACCAATCTGCGAACTTGTAAAAAAACTAAAACCCAATCGGAATCGGATGCGGTTTAGGAAAGGATCAACCCTAAACACCTGGCGAGTTTCGTGTTTAGGGTTGACCATCCCAAAATGCATCCAGGTTCTTTCTGAGTTTCATTTTGTTTTGGCGGGAGTTTCATCTGTGACCATTCGCGTTTTTTTATACCAGTTGATTGTGACTGATTCCGTGAAACGCTTTATCAGTCGCGTGAAAACACCCTTTGCAGTGACCGTACTGTCAAGATACTAAGCTAGTTGGGCTTAAAAGCCATGGCTAGAGTAACTTAGTAGCTTAGGTTTTTGGGTTGAAGGAGGTGTCGAGAGAGTTGAAGCAGGAATGAGTGACTTCACTAAGAAAGATGAGTACAAAATATAGCAAGGAGAAGCATGGTGCACCACCTACAGCAAATTGGGATGTGCTACACTCTACACTGCAGACAATTATAAAGAACATATATAAATATAGTTCAACACACCCCCTAATTGATTGCAGTGAGAACCATGTACAGAACACCCCCTGAAATGGTACACCCTGCAGGGCGCAATAGAAGAAGAGGCGAAGTGAGGAGAAGGAGGAGGGACTGTGAGAGGAGTGGAGATAGGAGGCGACAGGTGAAGCCGCAGTCACACGGGCAACAGGAGCGGCGCGCACAGTGGCTACCGAGCGCACGAGGGCACCGGACTACGGGAGTATCTGGCTCCGCGGCTACGACGAGCGGCAGGAGCAACGGACCCACGGGCGACTGGCGAAGCAGGCTCGCTGGGCTACCGAGAGCACGAGGGCTCCGGACTACTGGCGCTGTTGACGACACGACGGCGACCTCCGCTCTACCTCCCCTAACAGTCCCACACCCCCTTCTCACACACCCCCTTGCTGCACCCCTGTCTCCACTCCCACGACACCCCCTTAGCTCCACTCCCCTCGGCTCCCACACATCCACCCCCGTTCAGCGGCAGCTGCAGCAGTGGGAGACGAAGTAGGAGGAGGAGGAGGGGAAGGGTAGCACCCACACTCATCACCCCACACCCGCCACCCCCATACCCTCCCCCCACGGCTGCACAGGGTCCAGGAGCGGCGTCGCGGGCAGCTGCAGGGTCGGCTGCTGCAGGAGCGGCTGCTCCAGGGGCCAGGAGCGGCTGCTCCAGGGGCTAGGGGCGGCTGCTGCAGGGGCGGCTGCTCCAGGGGCCAGGGGCGGCTGCTGCAGGGGCGGCTGCTCCAGGGGCCAGCGGCGGCTGCTGCAGTGGCGGCTGCTCCAGGGGCGGCTGCTCCAGGGGCGGCTGCTCCAGGGGCCAGGGGCGGCTCCTGCAGTGGCGGCTGCTCCAGTGGCCAGGGGCGGCTGCTGCAGGGGCGGCTGCTCCAGGGGCCAGGGGCGGCTGCAGGTGCGGTTGCTCCAGGGGCCAGGGGCGGCTGCTGCAGTGGCGGCTGCTCCAGGGGCCAGGGGCGGCTGCTGCAGGGGCGGCTGCTCCAGGGGCGGCTGCTCCAGGGGCGGCGTCGCTGGTGCAGGGCAGGCCCGCGCGCTGCTGCAAAGCAGGCGCGGGCGCAGGGGAGGCAGAGGCGGCGGCCAGGGGGGGGTGCGCCGCGACGAGCAGGGACAGCGCCCAGGGGGCGCCGCGACGAGCAGGGACGGCGCCCCAGGGGCGCCACGACGAGCAGGGGCGACGCCGCGCGGGTCCCGCAGGGGCGTCACGATGAGCAGGGCAACGCCGCGCGGGTCCCGTAGGGGCGCCGCGACGAGCAGGAGCGGCGACGCACGGGTCCCGCAGGGGCGTCGCGACGAGCAGGAGCGGCGCCTCTGCAGGGCGCCGCGAAGGGCAGGGTACGGGCGGGCAGAACAGGCCCGCGCGCGGACGTGGGGCAGGCGCACAGGCGGCGTGAGAGCAGGCCGCGCGCGGGGCAGGAAGACGCCGCACGCCCGGGGCGCACGGCGGGCAGAAAACCGCCGTGCGCCCCGAGCACACGGCGGGCAGAAAATCGCCTACGCCGCGCGCCCGAGGCGCACGGCAGGATGACAGGCAGCGGAAGCAGACTGGTGGGCCCGTTAAGGAAGGCAGCAGGAAGGTGCCTGCTCTGATACCATGTCAAGATACTAAGCTAGTTGGGCTTAGAAGCCATGGCTAGAGTAACTTAGTAGCTTAGGTTTTAGGGTTGAAGGAGGTGTCGAGAGAGTTGAAGCAGGAATGAGTGACTTCACTAAGAAAGATGAGTACAAAATATAGCAAGGAGAAGCATGGTGCACCACCTACAGCAAATTGGGATGTGCTACACTCTACACTGCAGACAATTATAAAGAACATATATAAATATAGTTCAACACGTACCCTTTATTTTTTTACCAAAAATGTTTTTGAGTCTCATGATGGTTACAAATGGCATATTTTCCCAAGAACTAAAGAGAGCTAAATAGTGGGGATGATAGAGGATGAGCTTGTGATGGAATGGGATGGCAACAGAAAATGCGAGAGCACAAAACCTAGGGAACACACCACGACCAGCCTAATAAGTTTCCCTAACACCCTACCCAGCCTCTACACCCGCATATCCACCAGGTAGGGCAGATCTACCCATGGAGCGTCCCATCCAACATGCTGTTCGATATCCTCCCGCTCCATCCAAACAGCCTCCGGGCCCCTCATCATTGACGACACATGTGGATTACGCGCGTCTGGATTCGCTACAATGCCACCCCAATGGCAACCTTACGTGATCCGAGCAAATACGCTAAGAATCTCTTTCCTGTACCCCCCAACCGCCCCTTTTGACATCGCCACCTGCAACTGTACGGCGTCCTGTTTCTCAAGTCGCCCTAGGCAACCCCAGGCTTCTCCGATGTAGGGAGTCAAATACGCTCCCCTATGCTGCTGGAAAAGATATTGGTGATCCGTCGCCTTCCGCCTTTCTCTCTTCTTAGCGGCAAAACCCACCTTGCAGCCAATCAGCACGTGCTGCTGCGCAGACAGGGAGATGGGGTCAACAAAGCTGAACTCAAGCGCATGCGCAGGGCCCTTGGTCTTCGAACATCACATCCACCTTCTCTTCAAAAGCAACGTATCGTCCTCTATAGTCACAACATTTTAGATATCCTGGCCACCACGAATTTTAACCACGTCATAGACTCGTGAAGGTATTACTGATGCTTGCAGCGAAAGATCAACAAACTAAACCCCACAAACACACTTGCCAGCAACCATCAGCTGCTCGTTCGGAAGGCCCAGGCTCATGGCGGCACAGATGCTCCACTCAGTCACGGTAAGTTAGCCTCATCACGAGAACGAACGACAGAGACCAACACTCCCACACCCGAGCCCTGAAGGGATGTCAAACGGGCCAAGGTGGCATCATCGTGGGCCATGCCTCGAAGCGATTGCGGACCCTCTACCACCAATCCATGCTGCTGCGTATACAAAAGCATTAGTGGGGGGTCAACGGTGCACAATGCAAGGGGCTGTCAGAATGTTATATGTGTCTGTCAGAATGTTATATGTGTTTAGCCTGCAGTGGGGTACTCTATAGTGAGTACAACCCAATTTAGAGTTTCGTATATGTATCATGCAGCTGCTAGTCCAAAACCTCTTTCCTGTTTCTGCATTCCTGCCGACTGTTTTGACATGCTATCAGAGCGGTTACGCTCCTGGCCTGTGGGCCCACCGTTAGCTTCCGCTGCTGTCCTGTCTGTTGCGTGCCCCGTGGCGCGCGACGTTTTTTCTTCCCGCCACGCGGTCGGGGCGCATGGCGGTTGCACGCGGCGGTTTTCTGCCCGCCGTGCACCCCGAGGCGCGTGGCGGTTTCCTGCCCTGTCGACCAGCGCGTCGCCCCCCGTCGTCCGTCGAAGCGCCCCCCGGGGACCTGCGCGTCACCCCCCGTCACCCGTCGAAGCGCCCCTGGGACCCGCGCGCGGCCCTTACAGCCTGCGCGCGGCCCGTACAGCCCGCGTGCGGCCCGTACGGCCTGCGCCAGGCCCGTGTGCGGCCCGTACAGCCCGCGCGCGGCTCGTACGACCTGCGCCAGGCCCGCGCGCGACCCGTACAGCCCGCGCGCGGCCCGTATGGCCTGCGCCAGGCCCATGCGCGGCCCGTTCAGCCTGCGCCAGGCCCGCGTGCACCTGCACTGCCGTGCGCGCACCCGCTCCCGCCCCGTGCTGCCTGTGTTAGGGTTTGGGGGTGGCGAGTATGGGGGTGCTGGGTGAGTGAGTCCTCCCCTGCTCCTCCTCCTCCTCCGTATCCCACTGGTGCAGCTACCGCTGAGGGGGGTGGATGTGTGGGAGCCGTCGGAGTAGTACTATGGGGGTGGCGTGTGAGCTGTGCTAGGGGGTACAGCAGGGGGTGTGTGGAAGGGGTGTGGGACAGCTGGGGGAGGTTGACTGGAGGCAGCCGTCTTGTCGTTCGCAGCGCCTGTAGTCCAGGGTTTAGCCTGGTAGCCCAGAGAGCCAGCTGCGCCTGTCGCCGTGTAGTCCAGGGCTCTGCGCCTGGTAGCCACAGTGCTGCGCGCTCCTGATAGCACAGAGAGTCAGCTGCGCCTGTCGCCGTGTAGTACGGGGCTCTACGCCTGGTAGCCACAGTGCTGCGCGCTCCTGTTGCCCGTGTGTCTGCAGCTTCAGCCGTCGCCTCCCATCTTCTCGCCCCCTATAGTTTCTCCTCCTCCTCACTTGCCCTCTGTGATAGCCTCTAGCTTTGCTTATTATTGTGAACAATCGCTCTGCTTGCTTATTGTGCTGATTACACCCCACTTTGGCTATGGGGGTGTGTCAAAATGTTATATGTGTCTAGCCTGCAGTGGGGTACTCTATAGCGAGTACAACCCAATTAAGGGTTTCGTATATGTATTCTGCTGCTGCTAGTCCGAAACCTCTTTCCTGTTTCTACATTCTTGCCTACTGTTTTGACAGTGTCTAGCCTGCACTGGGGTACTTTATAGCAAGTACAACCCAATTTAGGGTTTCATATATGTATCCTGTTGCTGCTAGTTCAAACCTCTCTTTTCTGTTCTATCGTTTCAGTCTGCTGTTTCGACATGCTATCAGATCGTTTACGCTCCTGGCTTGTGGGCCCGCCCTTTGCTTCCGCCACTGTACTGTCTATCGCGCGCCCCGTGGTGCGCGACGTTTTTTTCTTCCCGCCACGCGCCGCCCGCCATGCGCTCGGGGCGCGTGGCGGTTTCCTACCCGCCGCGCGCCCCGGGAGTGCGCGGCGGTTTGCTGCTCCGTTGAAGCGCCCCCGGGGATCTGCGCGTCGCCCCCCGTCGCCCGTCGAAGCGCCCCTGAGACCCGCGCGCGGCCCGTACAGCCTGCGCCAGGACCGCGCGCGGTCCGTACGGCCTGCGCCAGGCCCGCGCGCGGCCCGTACGACCTGCGCCAGGGCCGCGCGCAACCCGTACAGCCCGCGCGCGGCCCGTACGACCTGCCCCAGGCCCATGCGTGGCCCGTACGGCCTGCGCCAGGCCCGCGCGCACATGCCCTGCCGTGCGCGCACCCGCTCCTGCCCCGTGCTGCCTGTGTTAGGGTTTGGGGGTGGCGAGTATGGGGGTGACGGGTGTGTGAGGCCTCCCCTGCTCCTCCTCCTCCTCCTCCTCCTCCTCCTCCTCCTCCTCCTCATCCTCCTCCTCCTCCTCCTCCTCCTCCTCCTCCTCCGTCTCTCGCTACTGCAGCTGCCGCTGAGGGAGGTGGATGTGTGGGAGCCGTCGGAGTGATACTACAGGGGTGGCGTGTGAGCAGTGCTAGGGGTACAGCAGGGTGTGTGTAAAAGGGGTGTGAGACAGCTGGGGGAAGTTAAGTGGAGGCAGCCGTCTTGTCGTCCGCATCGCCTGTAGTCCGAGGTTTAGCCTGGTAGCCCAGAGAGCCAGCTGCGCCTGTCGCCGTGTAGTCCGGGGCTCTGCGCCTGGTAGCCACAGTGTGCGCGCTCCTGGTAGCACAGAGAGCTAGCTGCGCCTGTCGCCGTGTAATCCGAGGCTCTGCGCCTGGTAGCCACAGTGTTGCGCGCTCCTGGTAGCACAAAGAGCTAGCTGCGCCTGTCGCCGTGTAGTCCAAGGCTCTGCGCCTGGTAGCCACAGTGCTGCGCGCTCCTGTTGCCCGTGTGTCTGCAGCTTCAGCCGTCGCCTCCCATCTTCTCGCCCCCTATAGTTTCTCCTCCTCCTCACTTGCCCTCTGTGATAGCCTCTAGCTTTGCTTATTATTGTGAACAATCGCTCTGCTTGCTTATTGTGCTGATTACACCCCACTTTGGCTATGGGGGTGTGTCAAAATGTTATATTGTCTAGCCTGCAGTGGGGTACTCTATAGCGAGTACAACCCAATTAAGGGTTTCGTATATGTATTCTGCTGCTACTAGTTCGAAACCTCTTTCCTGTTTCTACATTCTTGCCTACTGTTTTGACAGTGTCTAGCCTGCACTGGGGTACTTTATAGCAAGTACAACCCAATTTAGGGTTTCATATATGTATCCTGTTGCTGCTAGTTCAAACCTCTCTTTTCTGTTCTATCGTTTCAGTCTGCTGTTTCGACATGCTATCATATCGTTTACGCTCCTGGCTTGTGGGCCCGCCCTTTGCTTCCGCCACTGTACTGTCTATCGCGCGCCCCGTGGTGCGCGACGTTTTTTTCTTCCCGCCACGCGCCGCCCGCCATGCGCTCGGGGCGCGTGGCGGTTTCCTACCCGCCGCGCGCCCCGGGAGTGCGCGGCGGTTTGCTGCTCCGTTGAAGCGCCCCCGGGGATCTGCGCGTCGCCCCCCGTCGCCCGTCGAAGCACCCCTGAGACCCGCGCGCGGCCCGTACAGCCTGCGCCAGGCCCGCGCGCGGCCCGTACAGCTCGCGCGCGGTCCGTACGGCCTGCGCCAGGCCCGCGCGTGGCCCGTACAGCCCGCGCGCAGCCCGTACGACCTGCGCCAGGGCCGCGCGCAACCCGTACAGCCCGCGCGCGGCCGTACGACCTGCCCCAGGCCCATGCGTGGCCCGTACGGCCTGCGCCAGGCCCGCGCGCACCTGCCCTGCCGTGCGCGCACCCGCTCCTGCCCCGTGCTGCCTGTGTTAGGGTTTGGGGGTGGCGAGTATGGGGGTGACGGGTGTGTGAGGCCTCCCCTGCTCCTCCTCCTCCTCCTCCTCCTCCTCCTCCTCCTCCTCCTCCTCCTCCTCCTCCTCCGTCTCCCGCTACTGCAGCTGCCGCTGAGGGGGGTGGATGTGTGGGAGCCGTCGGAGTGATACTACAGGGGTGGCGTGTGAGCAGTGCTAGGGGTACAGCAGGGTGTGTGTAAAAGGGGTGTGAGACAGTTGGGGGAAGTTAAGTGGAGGCAGCCGTCTTGTCGTCCGCAGCGCCTGTAGTCCGAGGTTTAGCCTGGTAGCCCAGAGAGCCAGCTGCGCCTGTCGCCGTGTAGTCCGGGGCTCTGCGCCTGGTAGCCACAGTGTGCGCGCTCCTGGTACCACAGAGAGCTAGCTGCGCCTGTCGCCGTGTAATCCGAGGCTCTGCGCCTGGTAGCCACAGTGTTGCGCGCTCCTGGTAGCACAAAGAGCTAGCTGCGCCTGTCGCCGTGTAGTCCAAGGCTCTGCGCCTGGTAGCCACAATGCTGCGCGCTCCTGTTGCCCGTGTGTCTGCAGCTTCAGCCGTCGCCTCCCATCTTCTCGCCCCCTACAGTTTCTCCTCCTCACTTGCCCTCTGTGATAGCCTCTAGCTTTGCTTATCATTGTGAACTATTGCTCTGCCTGCTCGTTGTGCTGATTATACCCCACTTTGACTATGGGGGTGTGTCAGAGTGTTATATGTGTCTAGCCTGCAGTGGGGTACTCTATAGCGAGTACAGCCCAATTTTGGGTTTCATATATGTATCCTGCTGCTGCTAGTTCAAACCTCTCTTTCTGTTCTATCGTTTCAGTCTGCTGTTTCAACAGGGGCGACACCTCCTACCACACCGGCTGTAGGAGTAGCTTCACTACTCTTGCAAACTAGAGATCCAGCAAGGTCGTAGCTTCGAGGATGCAAAATGCTCCTCAAACATCTGCTCCTCTCCTGAAACCCCCATCCGAGCAACATCGTTCACTGCCTGGCGCCAACCATAAGCGTACGACAAAGGGCCGAGGTCAGCTGCAGATCGAATCCCAAAGCTTCCCAGTCTGACAGGAAGGTTCAGCTGCAGGCGGGCTATCTGCGACTTTCTCGAATCATGATCTCAGCCTTGAAAAGCCTCCACCACCCCTGGTCGAGTAAATTGGATAAATTTACGCGGTCCTGTAAGCGAGTCGGATAAATTGGAACAGATGCGCGCAGTTGCGTCAGGCGGTCCTGTAAGCGAGCCACCTCCTAGTCGTCCTCACCAATGGGGACACGTACTACACTGAGCCAAGTCCAAGCTTGTTGCATGCCTGTCGTAAGTGCCTTATCCCTCTCCCCTCCCTCCAGGTCCCCACCACCCTCCCATGGTTTGCACTTGTGCGGCTGGACCTACAGACCCAAGACCGCCTAATCGCTCGTGCAAGACCCCATAGGCAGCCAACACCCACTCCCTGAGCTCCAAGATTACGTATCATCATCATAGCCGAGAAATAGGAGGTCGGCGAAATCCTGGCTCATAGGCTTAATGTGTGTGAACAGACAGACAGACTCAGACCCAGCAACAAGACTAGCAGCGAAGTCTAGACGACAGGCAGCAGCAAAGTCAACAAGCTCAGCGACTAAAGCAGACGCAGCAGTGGACTCAAGCGAAGGGTCAGTGACAACAGTGGCAAGCAGACGCGTGACAGTAGGGTGAGCAGCATGAGCGCGGTCAGACTCAGGGTCTAAAACGTCAGGCAGAGAAGATGCAGGAGGGGACGGCAGGGGAACACGCTGCGGAGCAGAGGAAGGACGCAGAGCCATGAGGAGCGTGCCGGGGATAGCCGGCGGACGCTCAGGACGACCATACAACCAGTGCATACAGTGCGAACAGGCGAGACAGGACCAGACGTAGGCTCACGACGCTCAGCAACACCCCCTATCTGCTTAGTGTAAAGAGAAGGAGCAGGCAGTGGAGAGCCAGGCTGTAACGGAAGACCCGTAGAAGACGGGAGGCTAAGAACCTGGCAAAGCACGGAGTCAGGCGGCGGCAGAGACGAAGGTGACAGCGGAGCGAAGAACAGTCGCGGCTGAGCAGTGCCACCAGCACCAGTAGCTCTAGCACCTCCTGCAGCTCCAGAACCTCCAGCGCCAGCACCTCCAGCAGCTCCAGAACCTCCAGCTCCAGCGCCACCAGCGCCAGCACCTCCAACAGCGCCAGAACCTCCAGCGCCAGCACCTCCAGTACCAGCACCACTAGTAGCAGCACCCCAAGAACCGGCACCTCCAGCCCCAGGGTCTCCAGCCTCAGTGTCTCCAACAGCAGCACCCCCAGAATCGGCACCTCCAGCTCCAGGGTCTCCAACCTGAGGGTCGACAGCACCACGTCCAGGTCCAGCAGTAGCTCCAGCCCCAGTAGCTCCAGTACCTCCAGTACGAGCACCTCCGGGACCAGCGGGTCCAGGAACTCCAGTAGAAACACCTCCAGTAGCAGAGTCACCAGTGCTCCAAACGCCAGCGCCTCCCGCAGCAGGGCGTCCAGCTCCACCAGCGCGACCCTGACGGCTAACGTACCACTCACGCAGCTGCTGTGGGGAGAGAGGGAGACGCCGACGAGAGTGCTGCGGCGAGGCACCAGCGGAGCGACTACGGAGGCGGCCACTCCAAGGAGACTGCTCACCAGACGCCTCTGTGCCCCCCAGCGCAGCACCCCCAGACGCAGAACCCCTAGGCTCAGCACCCCCAGACCCCTCACGCCCACGTTCAGCCCCTCCAGGCTCCGCACCCTTAGGCTCAGCACCCCCAGGCTCCGCACCCCCAGGCTCAGCACCCCCAGAAGCAGCACTCCAAGCAGGACCACCCCCAGTAGGACCTGAGTCACCAGTGACCTCAACCGGCTCAGTCAAGGGAGAAGGGTCTACCTGAAACACACCTGAAGGAGCAGGACCTGGAGCGGGGAGGGGGTCTACGTGGGGAGGACCTGGAGTGAGAAAGAGCGGCGAGGGGAGGAGAGGGGCTGTGCGGTAGGGAAACAGACGGTAAAAGGGGACCGACTCGTCAAAGGTGACGTCCTGAGACGCAAAGACACGGCGCGAGGCGGGGTCATTAAACTGCCAGCCAGACGTGTCAGGGACAAAGCCAAGGAAAACGCAGGGAATGGCGCGAGGGGAGAGCTTGTCCGCAGTCGTATCGCGGACAAAGGCACGAGCACCCCTGACTCGGAACCGCGATGCATCGCCAACCTCCCCCGTCCAACGTAGTGTGGACGAAGTCTCCGGAACGGAGAGACGGGGCCAGAGGTTGAGCTGATGCGCGGCGTACCAGACTGCTAACGGCCACACAAAATGGGGGGCAGCCGCATGGATCATGGAGGTACGAGCGACCTCCATGACTAAGCCAATGCGACGCTCAGCAATCCCATTCTGCTGCGGAGAGGCCGGAAGCGTGAACGTCTGGCGGATGCCGTGCTTCTCACAGAAGGCTCGCAAGAGGTTAGAGGTGAACTCACTACCTCTGTGAGAGTGCAAACGCAGGACAGGAAAGTCCGACTCGAACCGCTCGCGGAGCTGGAGACGAACAACGCGGATCCAAGGGATCAAAACAGCAGGGACATCCCCCTTGCGCTGCAAGGGGAAGACCGTGGTGTAACGCGTGTAGTCGTCGACTACCAGCAGGAAATACCGCTCGTGGCCCTGTCCACGGACGCGGGCTGGGCCCCACACGTCCATGTGGAGAGTCTGCAGCGGAGCCTCTGTGGGAGGGAACGAGGAGGAGTGAGGAGTGGCGCACTGCCGCCCCTCGACACAAGGAATGCAGGGCGGCGTAGGCGAGGGAGGGAGGGAGGGCAGAGACTGGGGAAGACCAGAGACCAGGTAGCGAGAGTGCATGCTACGAAGGTGAGGCAAGGAGGGATGACCAAGGCGGTGGTGCCAAAGGAGAGTCTGGTGCGACAGGCGGCAACACTCACACTGGGTAGCCACCTGAGCGGACAAGTACAACTGAGGAGACAAAGGGGTGTAGCGCGACGCAGTGGTGAGGGTGTACAGACTGGACCCAGGCGCATGTGTGAACGTGGCCAGGTGGCGGCTAGTCCGAGAGCACGTGCAAATCGCCACACGCTGTCCTCCAGGAGTAAAGGTGTCAATCCAATGATCCTGAAGGACGGCGTTGCTCTGAAGGTTCGTAGAGAACGAGGGGAGGTGGAGACCAGACAGCTCACCAGACGAGACCGCCGGAAACGGAAGCACAGTAGTGGACCGTGCTAGCACTGGGCCCCCAGAGGGGTCAGCCAGTGAGACAGGGACAGGTGCAGGAAGGGGAGTGACTGTGGTACTGTCGCGAAAGAAACAGCGGGAAGCACCAGATTCAAGTGTAAAGGTGTGCAAGGCCTGAGCGGACGCAGTACCAGGGAGAACAGACTCACTAGCACCTAGGGCTGCAGACTCTATACCTGGGTCAGGCGGCATACACAAGTAGCAGTCACCCTCGGCACTACTAGTCAATGCATACATGGCAGTAAGGATGGCGTCATAGTCTAGCGCAAAGACATCGACGCCCTGCCTAAGTAGCTCTAGCCAGCGGGGGAGCTCAGCCGCGTCGCCAAACTGTGCACGCCAGGTGTCGCTCAGACAGGAAAAGCAGCTGGACTGTGTGTGGCCAGGTGTCCCGCATGTCTGACCAGCTCGATCACCTGTGCGAATGACGTATTGGCAGCGAGCACTACTCAAAGACCCCCCACACTGAGCGTACCACTCACGAAACTGCTGGGGCGTAAGGGTCTCACGCGGACGCGGCTGCAGCTGCACCAGGCCACCGCCAGAAACTCCCAACCGACTAGCTGCACCGCGACTGCCACTACGGCCACCGCCACGACACCTACGGGCATACCACTCACGAAGCTGCTGGGGCGTAAGGGTCTCGCTCGAACGTCGCTGCAACTGCATCTGGCCACCGCCAGAAACTCCCCACCGAACAGCTCCAAAGCGACTGGTACTGAGGCCGCCACCACTCCCACTGCTGCCGCCACCGCCACCACCACTCCCACCGCTACCGTGAAGGGAAGTCATGCGAATAGCAGGGCAGCTCGCAGGGCAAGAAGGGCGGCGAGGAGGCACTAGGGTAGGGCAGGGCGGAGCGCGGCCAAAGCAGGGCGGCGCGCGGCCAGAGCAGGGCAGTAGCAGGCAGTAGCTCATAGGGCAGAAGCACCTAGGGTTTATATATATATATATATATATAATTTTATTTAGGGTTTAGCAGAGCGCTGGCGCAGTGCAGGGCGCTGGCGCAGGGCAGGGCGCGAGCCCGCGCACGGCAGGGCGCTGGCGCAAGGCAGGGCGCTGGCGCAGGGCAGGGCGCTGGCGCAGGGCAGGGCGCCAGCGTGCGCAGGGCAGGGTGTTGGCGCAGGGCAGGGCGGTAGCGCAGGCTGCAGCAGTGCGTGACACGAGGGGCAGCAGAGCGCGACGCGACGAGCTGCCTTAGGGCGCGACGCGCGGGCTGCATCAGAGCGCGACGCGCGAGGCAGCAGTGTGCGACTCGTGCGCTGCCGTAGGGCGCGACGCGCGGGGCAGCAGCGCACGACGCGCGGGCTGCCGTAGGGCGCGACGCGTAGGGCGCGACGCGTAGGGCTGCAGCGCGGGCGTAGGGCAGGGCGCAGGCACAGGGCAGGGCACTGGCACAGGGCAGGGCGCCGGTGCAGGGCAGGGCGCTGGCGCAGGGCAGGGCTCTCGCGCAGGGCAGGACTCTGGCGCAGGGCAGGGCGCTGGCGCAGGGCGACGCGAGGCAGGGCGACGCGACGCGAGGCAGGCCGTAACGCAGTAACTGCAGTCGGAAGCTAAGTATGGTGGGCCCAGAAAAAAAAAAAAAAAAACGGTCCTACGGACCGACTGCTCTGAAACCATGTCAAGATAGCAAGTAGGAATGAATGAACTAGGTCAAAGTTTGGTGCAAGTATAAAACCCTAAAGAGGCTATACCCCATATTGGCTACCCCACTACAGCCTACAGATATATATAATTTGACACATGAGGAGGGTGGGTGGGAGGGGCAATCCCATCAACCCTAATTGGGCGCTGCCCTCTACAGCCTCGCCCCAGATTGTCCAAGCCTTGTTGTTCGACCCATCGTTCCCTACTTGCCACCACCCACCACACCATGCACGAATCCACCACCCACCCGCCACCAATCAGGCTCCCATGGTGCGCCGGCACATCGACATTACCAGCACCCATACCGTCAACCAACTTAATGTGCTTAAGGGTTCTCATGAGACAAAAGTCATAACACACGTTTCATTGATTATATAAACAACTTGTTTGCATGCTTTTCGCGGCAATCACCTGCAGGCCCGATCTCTCTTACATTGTCAGCCAGCTCACGCAGTTCCCTGAACGCCATAAAGGGGATTGTGTTCGACCTTCAACGAGCCCTGCATTATATAATCTCAACAACCGACGTCGACATCAAACACTCACCCCCACTCCTTCATGTCTTGCGATATCAGTTAATGATGTCCTTGTGCATCTTCAAGTGTTGCGAAACATTGTATAACGCCGTGTGCGTCAACAACTATGCTTGCAGTTTACGTAACTAAAGAGTGGGCATGGTATTCCAGCTTCTCCAAATACTCCTAGGACATGCTCCCAACCACTATTAGAAATACATCATGCTAATAACGAGTAATAAGAGGCAATCACGGCGTACTTGAGCTTGTGGAACTTTTGGTTCCCACGTGGCAATGAGCCCGTTGGTGCTTCACCTTGCAGTCAGGGTTTGTGGGTTCTGACAACCAATCAGAGCCATAGTTTCTTACCTTTGCGGCCAGTGTTAGCTTTCTCTCACACACGTCAACGTCCAATTGCGTGCCCGTACTCAGAGGTTTGTTTGTTTGAGTTGTCGAATATTTTGCAGGCATCGGATACGGTTCAATCAGGGTTGCCATGGGTTTCATTGAAAGGCTTCTGTGCGGCGTGATGAGGGGGATCGCTGTAAAATGGCATGGCACTTGGTTGATTGGATGTGGTGCGAATGCGACGTTCGCAAAACGATGTTTCGCAGCGTTCGTGCTGCTGGTCGGCGCGCAGAACGCACGCCTCGAGATTGTCACGACATCTTCAAGCCAAGTTCCACAGACCTGAAGTTACAAGATTTCTTCGCTAATTCGTGACTACATGCCATTTTCGCAGATCGAAACCCCTGAGCTCCACGCGCACACTCACTGCCCCCTACCCCACCTTTCCCCCCTAGACCTCCCTTATCACCTAGTTTCCCAGAGTGCAAACTAACTTCTTGACTGACTGAAGTTGCATTGGTCCGAGTATTGGTGTTTGTCCCTGGAGTGAGATAGTCTGCCTGTGAGCTTCAGTCGACAAGTTTCCCAGTCCGTCTGCTTGTCAGAGTCCTAGGTGTTGGTGGTTCTGCTGCAGCAGAGCTTCCACAACGCCTTGCCTTCCCTACTCCCGAGAAGATGGCCGACGATGGCACCACGCTGGAGGATGTCAATAAGGAGCTCGTTAATCTGGTCCGTAGCTGTTGCTTGTTTGAGTTTCGCGTTCTTGCACGTTCTTTTTGTGACCCGTAGTGTGTATAAGGAAACTCTTGTTGATTGAACTATGGTTTTCAGGAAGACTGTCCAATGGAGGAGGTATTTGAGCAACTCCGTTGCACGAAAGAAGGGCTGACGTCAGCACAGGTCGAAGAGCGATTGAGGATTTTCGGGTATAACAAGCTCGAGGAGAAGAAGGTGCGTTTTTAGTTCCTCGATCCTCGGTATTCTCGCAGCTGGTTATGGCGTTAACCTGATTTGATACACGTACTGACATAATTGTGTGTTTTCTCATCGCAGGAGAGCAAGATATTGAAGTTTCTTGGTTTTATGTGGAACCCGCTTTCATGGGTCATGGAAGCTGCAGCCATTATGGCTATCGCTCTAGCAAATGGAGGAGTAAGTTTCTCTCTATTTGTGTCCTTGCTGTTCCGTCGTGATCATGATCTCATCCAGTACTGCTTGTTTATCCTTTCCAGGGAAAACCGCCCGATTGGTACGATTTCGTCGGTATTATTGTTCTTCTCCTGGTCAACTCTACCATTTCGTTCATTGAAGAAAATAATGCTGGCAATGCCGCCGCTGCGCTGATGGCTCGACTTGCTCCGAAAGCCAAGGTGTGCTACTTTCCGCGTTTCTTGGGTTTTCTGGCTTCGTCGATTATTCAGCTATTAATTTCGTAACATCTCGAGTTGCAGGCTTACCGTGACAAGTCTTGGGGCGAAATTGATGCTGCGGAGCTCGTTCCTGGAGATATTGTCTCCGTCAAGCTCGGCGACATCATTCCTGCCGACGCTCGTCTGTTGGAGGGAGATGCTTTGAAAATCGATCAGGTGTGTAAGCTAATGCTCCTAGGAAGCTGTTTCTGAACTCTCAGTTCAGCCTGTCTTGCACTTCGCAAATAGCTTACGCTGACATGATCTGCCTTGATTCAGTCCGCGCTTACTGGCGAGTCGCTGCCTGTGACGAAAGGTCCTGGCGACGGAGTTTACTCCGGATCGACTTGCAAGCAAGGCGAGATCGAGGCGGTCGTCATTGCCACTGGCGTGCACACGTTTTTCGGGAAGGCCGCGAACCTCGTGGAGAACACGAACAACGAGGGTCACTTCCAGAAGGTGAAGAAACACATCGAAACGTTCATGAACCGCCTAAACCGCAGACATACCGTTTTCCATGCAAAACTTGGCCAAGCTGGTCGTTCCAGTACCTAACCTGCCCGCGTGTGACCATTCTCAGGTGCTTCGTGCCATTGGAAACTTCTGCATCGGAGCCATCGCCGTTGGAATCGTGATCGAAATCATCGTCATGTGGCCGATCCAGAAGCGTAGCTATCGCGATGGCATTGACAACTTGCTCGTGTTGCTCATTGGTGGCATTCCAATCGCCATGCCCACGGTGCTTTCGGTGACGATGGCGATTGGCTCGCACAAGCTCTCGCAACAGGTGACGACCCTGATCAGTTGCAACGAATAGCTTCGCGAGGGGTTTTAAACGCGTTCTAAAGCTCCTGTGTTCGCATTGCAGGGAGCCATTACGAAGCGTATGACCGCTATTGAGGAGATGGCTGGCATGGACATTCTGTGCAGTGACAAGACTGGTACACTGACGCTCAACAAGCTGACCGTTGACAAGTCAATTATCGAGGTAAGTAGCGATTTCCGGAAATCGTAATGCATTAGGGTTGTATTAAAGCTTAAACCCTTGTCATACCGCTGCTGTGTGCAGGTCTATTCCAAGGACGCGGATCAAGACCTTGTTCTCCTGCTGGCTGCGCGTGCTGCTCGCACAGAGAACCAAGACGCCATTGACGCTTGCATTGTGGGAATGCTTGCTGACCCCAAGGAGGTGAGTGTCTGTCATCGCTGTTCCGCGTTCAACAAGTCCATTCGCCCTGGGAAATAAGTTTTATGTTGTAACCATATCTGCATTGCGCTTGTGCAGGCTCGGGAGGGTATCACGGAGGTCCACTTTTTCCCCTTCAACCCTGTGGACAAGCGCACGCAAATCACCTACACGACGCCTGATGGCAAAATGTACAGGGCGTCGAAGGGTGCGCCTGAGCAGATCCTCGACCTCGCCTATAACAAGAATGAGATCGCTGCTCGCGTGCATGCCACAATTGCTGGGTTCGCTGAACGTGGTCTTCGGTCTCTCGGCGTTGCTCGCCAGGTGAGCATAAAATACCTCTTTTTGATTTGTTTTAGAACTTCAAGATGACAGTGCAATTTTTGTGTTACGTGTAATCTTCCTTCGGCGGTATTGGTGCACTTGTGCTGTTGCTGATTGACGTTCTACCCCGTCTCGCCAATTGTTCATTGCAGGAAGTCCCTGAAGGCGTCAAGGACGCGGCTGGTGGTCCGTGGGAGATGGTAGGCCTCCTTCCATTGTTCGACCCTCCTCGCCATGACAGTGCAGAGACCATCAAAGAGGCCCTGAAGCTTGGCGTGAACGTGAAGATGATCACTGGTACGTCTCAAAGGACTAGAGATGTTTTGGAAAAACATATTGTCATAAGTAACTCGAGAACCTACTGGGCATGCCCTTAGCACTGAGACGTAGAAGAGTGTGTTTGACTTTATTTCTGATGATGTTCTGGTATGCTGCTGTTGATTCTGATGCATGAGTTGACTATGCAAGTGGAATATCCATGCTAACTAGCCTGGCATCTTAATTTTGCAGGTGATCAGCTCGCCATTGGCAAGGAGACAGGCCGGCGTCTAGGCATGGGAACGAACATGTACCCATCCTCTGCGCTTCTGGGCCAAGGAAAGGATGCCTCCTTGATTGGCGTCGACGTGGCAGACCTTATTGAGAAGGCCGACGGGTTTGCCGGCGTCTTCCCAGGTGGGTTATCACGTTTCAGTTTCAGTATTTTCTGCATTGAATTGGCAAAACAAATGAAAGCAGAAGTCACAGATATTGTAATGAAAGTTTTTAAACATTCCTGCTCTTTTTGCAGAGCACAAGTATGAGATTGTGAACCAGCTGCAAAAGAAGAAGCACATCGTGGGCATGACTGGTGACGGTGTGAACGACGCCCCTGCTCTCAAGAAGGCAGACATCGGTATTGCCGTGGACGACTCCACAGATGCTGCTCGAAGTGCTTCGGATATTGTCCTCACGGAGCCTGGTCTCAGCGTTATCATCCATGCGGTTCTCACCAGCCGTTGCATCTTCCAGCGCATGAAGAACTACACCGTGAGTGCACGAGTTGGCATTTTTAAAAAAGTTCTGATTGGATGAAGGTTTCTGTGAAGGTTGTTAGTAACTTATTGTGTCATTGACTGGCTTCCACTTACATGTCCTCCCCCTTCACTTCCTGATTCTGTTGCCTTCCCGTGATATTTTTTGCGTCTGCAGATCTATGCCATCTCCATCACCATCCGTATTGTGGTACGTTTGCCAAATTCCCCTTTACCAGGCTACTGAGCAACGTTTTGTGTGGGGGGGAGGGGTGTGTGGGTGTGTATGTATGGGTGGTTCCAAGTTTGCCACTGAACATTTTCCATGCTTTCTGTTCCTTCAATTGATCTTTCACAATTATCTGTCCTTGCAGCTTGGCTTCATGCTCATCGCTCTCATCTGGAAGTTCGACTTCGCCCCCTTCATGGTTCTTATCATCGCCATCCTCAATGACGGTATGCTCCCCTTTATTCAGTGAAAACTCATTGCTCAATGCTTTGTATCCCCCCCTCCTTCCCCCACCCCTTCCTCACCCCACCTTTTTTCTAAGGAGCTCATTCCTGTTCTTGTTCCATTTTCTCCCATTCTCACTCGTATTCTGTATTCACCTCCATTTTCCCTCCTCCCTACCCCCCACTCCCTTCCCCTCACTCTCCAACTCCCCGCCTCCTTCCACCTCTCCTCCCTCATCCCTCCTTCTGGCTCCTCCCCCTGATGCAACCACCTGTTCTGCCAGGCACCATCATGACCATCTCCAAGGATAGGGTCCTTCCGTCGCCAACCCCGGACAGCTGGAAGCTCTCGGAAATCTTTTGCCAGGGCGTGGCGTTTGGGTCCTACCTAGGAATTATGAGTGTTGTCTTCTTCTGGGCTGCCTACGAAACAAACTTCTTTGAGGTAAGAGAGCAAGCTGGTGTGTACACCATTCTCAGTCTCTCTTGCTCTCACCTTCCCGTCCCTTCCCCACCCACCCCCTCCCTCCCCCGCCCCCTCCCCCCCTTTCCCTCCCACTCCATGCCCATTCACCCACCTGCCATTTTTCATGCCCTTTAGTCATGCCTCCATCAACCCTTTGTCCTTCGGATCAACACCTGCTACTTCCCCCCCCCACACCCGCTCCCCTGTATTCCTGACTTGTTCTCTACTGTTTTATCCTACCCTTGATACCATGCAGCGAACCTTTGGTGTGGAGTCTCTTCAGAAACCCCCCAATGCTGATCCCAACGGGGAACTCACTGAGTCACAGATGAAGCTCATGTCTGCGCTCTACCTGCAAGTCTCCATCATCTCCCAGGCGCTCATCTTTGTCACTCGCTCCCAGAGCTTCTCCTTCCTCGAACGCCCTGGCCTTCTGCTCATGGTGGCCTTCGTTGTCGCTCAGCTGGTACGTGGTTTGGTTCTCTTGATGTTGGTTGGACTTGTGCAAGAAAAGAGATGAAAGGGGACGGACAAGGGGGTGAGAAGATTACAAATCTGCTTGATTTGCGCAAAGAAAGTAGAGATTAAAGTGGAAGTAAGGAGATGTGAGGTGAAAATGAAGAGGGGAGAAGCAGGTGAAAGAAAAAGGCAAAGAGAGCATTCAAGTCTTTTTTTTTTCACATTTGTTGCATGTGTGGTGCTGGGTGATGATGATGGTGGTGCTGATTCGGTTGGTGCGGATGATGATGAATCGTGTGGCATTTGTATGATGCGGGGGATGTTGGATGTGTACATGCAGATTGCCACCTTCCTTGCAGTGTATGCCAACTGGGGCTTCACTTACATCATGGGATGCGGCTGGGGATGGGCCGGTATCGTCTGGCTCTACAGGTGTGTGTTCTGTGCACCATCCAACACACATCCAATGCGTACCAAGTCCCTTCCCTGCAGTTAACCTTTTCCGGCAGTTGAACCTTTTCTGACCTCCATTGCTGTGTGTTTATGTCTGTACAAAGCTCTGGAACCTCATGTACCCTCATAGATTGCTCTTCATCTGAAACCTCCTGTACCCTGTGTTCCTATCATGTGGCTCCCCCTTGTACAGCCTGGTGACATACATCCCTCTGGACTTCATCAAATTTGCCGTCTCCTACATGCTCTCTGGCAAGGCCTGGGATCTGCTTACAGAGAACAGGGTCACGTTCACCAAGAAGGCCAACTTTGGTATCGAGGAGAGGCAGGCACGGTGGGCCACGGCACAGCGAACCCTCACTGGGCTCCAGACCGTTGCTGCTGACGAGGCTCCCACGGTCCTGGCTGTGCTCGGCACTGCTGGTGGAGCTGATGCAGCTGAGGCTGCTCGCCGTCGTGCAGAAATCGCCAGGTAAGAAGCCTTGCCAAAAATCCTTACCATTTATCTCCATTGAAGAGACAGGTTGGGAAGAAGGTGGCCTTCTTTTTCTCATAAGTTACTGGTCCTAATTTACTGCGCCATGTCTTCTCGTGGTGTTAACTTGTGTTCCAGGCTGCGGGAGGGTTTGACGCTCAAGGGTCATGTGGACAACATTGTGAAGCTCAAGAACATCGACGTGGATACCATCCAGCAATCCTACACTGTCTAATTTTTGTTATGTTAACCTTAAGGGCCAGAACAGTTGATTATTTTTGGTGGAATTTTTCACCTCGGTTTTTGAATCCGGCATTTAGGTTCGGCACGCAACAGCGCATGGCAGTGGCTTCTGCCTTTTTGTAGTTGTAGTTGGTGATACAAGCAGCTTGAATGTGAAAATTTGGTGGGTTAATAAAGGTTTTGGCCCTGCTGATATATGCTGTGTGCTACCTTGGATTGGAATGTGATTGTGGTACAGTACTGATGACAGGCAGGAACTAATTTGCATTTTCGTTTTGACGGCTGGGATGGGAAAGTATGAACAATCAAGTGCCACACTTCGGAACATGAAACAGTGGCTTTGGGTGTGCCAAAGATATAAACGTCATTACGTGGTGTTGTTGCAAGCAGAATTCAGAGAGCACCAATTTTACCATTAAGGAATAACATCTGCACCAGAATTTTCCTCTGAGCAAGGATGCTGTAACTTGTTTGAAGTCACCTCATACGGTAGCATAATTAAGGCGTTCCTGCTGTGGGAACACCCCCCTTAGCAGCTGCTCCATTACCGATGGTACTAGCATCCTGCTGACCCACCAGCCTCTGCAGCAGCAATTGGGCTCGCTGCAGCAAGCGCGATGTGAGGCCGGGGCGGCGAAGAGGCGCCGGGTTGAGCGCTCTAATAGAGTTGAGGCAAACTAGAAGCGTACCACCTTCGTGAAGCAACACCTGAGGTAGCATTTGTAACGAGAACAAGTGGGAAGAAGGAGAGGGGAGCAGGGGAGATGTGAGGTCGGGGTGGTGAAGAGGCGCCGGGGTGAGTGCTCTGATTGAGTTGAGGCAAATTGAAAGGGTACCACCCTCATGAAGCAACACCTGAGGTGTAACCAGAACAAGGAGAGGGGAGCAGGGGAGATGTGAGGCCGGGGCGGCGAAGAGGTGCCGGGTTGAGCGTGCTGATTGAGTTGATTCAAAACACGAAGCATATCACCCTGTGGAACACAAGTGCTGAGAAGTGTTTCGAGTTGTATTTAGAACACACCCTGCCCCACGAGCCAGGAAGGTATGCATCCAAAAAGTGTTTAGAATCGAATCGTACCCCACCCGAACCCACCCATATCCACCGCAATCCACCCCAGCCCACCCAACTGCACACACCGTGAGCCAGAGAGGCATGTGCCCCAGAAGGGCGGGGAGGAGTGCGAGCAGAATGCATGTGAGTGCGAGAGCCACGCTCTGCTTCACCTGGTGTGGAGGAGGGCAAGGATGGGGTTGGAGGAAAGGGACGGGAGGAGCACAGGCAAAGGGAAACAGAGGGAGGGAAGGAATGGCGGGGAGGAGTGCGAGCAGAATGTAAGTCAGTGCAAGAGCCACGCTCTGCTTCACCTGGTGTGCGCAAGGGCAAAGGCAAGGGCAAACACAAGGATGGGGTTGGAGGAAAGGGCAGGGACGAGCACACTCAGCAACTTCGTGTCTTTGAGTAAACTCATATGCCACTTCAGTCCCATAGGCTCAATACCGGTACCTCACATGAGCATGGTGTTCAATAGAGAAATGTTAATCATCTAAGTCTGTGTGTGTGTGTTCGTGAGGAAAAATGCTGTTCTTACAATGAGGGTGGTTTGCCGAGCCTTGGCTACTAGGAACGGGAGCTCTGAGATATTGTCCTTCAATAGAAGCACGTCTGCTGCTGCCACTGCTGTTGCACTCGCTCGCTCTGCCAGCACCACCCCAACCTGCCATGCGTGACAAAAATGAATGTAGAGCATTCACAGAGGGTCCTTTTGTCAGAAGCACGTCTGCTGCTGCCACTGCTGATGCTCTCGCTCGCGCTGCCAGCACCACCCCAACCGACCGTGTGTGACAGAAAAGATTGTGACAAAAATGTGGATCGAGAAAGGGTGACACGAACTCAATTGTGACATATCAGTTTCCAGGCAGGTGTGAGATGAATTTGAGCAGCAGGAAGGGAGCAGAGAAGGGAGCAGAGAAGGGAGCACAGATGGGGCTTGAAGATAGCAAAAGGAGAACCCTACAGCATAAGTTATGTGAACGAAATATACAAGAGGCGCATGGATGGCAGAGCGTTCACAGTATAGTTCTGAACCCTCTGTGAATGCTCTGTGCAAGAGCCCCAAAAGACCCATCTACAGTGGGTCGTACAGTGGGCTGCACGAGTTTGACAAAACACTTACCGTGGCAGCACAGCAGCCAGAGATATTGAAACCACTTTTGAGAATTCTCAGAAGTGATTTCAATATAACCGGCGTACAGTGGAGTGGGCTGCACGAGTTTGACAAAACACTTACCGTGGCAGCAGCCAGAGCAGGCGCGTCGTTGATCCCATCCCCCACCATCAGCACGCCTCCCCTCCCCTCCCTCCCCATCCTCCCAGTCATCTCCTCAACCGCCCTCAGCTTATCTTCCGGTCTCAACCCCGCCTCAACTTCCCCTCCCTCTATCCCCACCGCTGCTGCTACCCTGTGTGCCGAAGCTGCATGGTCCCCAGTGAGCATTTGGACTCTCAGCCCCCCCTGCTGCTGCAGCTGCCGAACCACTTCCTTAGCTCCGGGCCGAAGCTGATCTTCGAAGTGAAAGAGGGTTACCTTTTGCCCCACTGCCAAAGCTGCTCGGATTAGGTCGCTTGGCGGGAGAGTTGGGGGTGGTGGTGGGTTTGACTGGGATACTGATGGTGTGTCTGCTGCTGCTGCTCCTGATGCTCGTGCTGCCTTATCTCTGTCAAACCCATCACCACCCTGTACTGTTCCTGCTGCTGCTCTGCTCGCCCAACGATCCTCTGCCACCTCAGCAATGAAATCCAGGGAGCCAATGCGAGCCTCGTGCGGGCCCCACCTGTCGCTCTATGATTGGCCAAGAAAGGTGGAGGGTGGGGGAGAAAAGTGAAGGGAGGAAAGAGTATCCACAGTCATGAGGTGGTGGAGAGTGGTGATGATGGGTGATGAATCGGTGTAGGGAGGCAAAAGTAGAATATACGCAAGAGTACAATAATCGCAAAAAGTAAAACAAAATCAAAGTAGAATAAACGCAAGAGTAGAATTAATGCGAAAGTAGAATAAAATCAAAAGTAGAATAAACTCAACCATTAACTCAATCAGCACCGCACTGCACTACAAGTCACAGCATACCTTCACACCGCACTGCACCGCAGCGCACCGCACTACATCCATCCGTATCGTATCACGCACCTCGCCAGGCATGCTGGAAATGGTGGCTGTGAGCCCTCGCCCGGGCACCAGCTGCAGCTGATCCACATCCCTTTCACTCAACCAACACCGCACTGCACCCCACTACAATTTACAAAAAACCTTCACACCACACTGCACCGCAGTGCACCCATTTTCACCTCGCCAGGCAAGCTAGAGATGGTAGCTGTGAGCCCTCGCCCCGGCACCAGCTGCAGCTGATCCACGCTCACCCCCGTGAGAGTAGCTCTCCTGCTGTCCGCGTATTCCTGTAGGGCCCTGTGAAGGTGGGAAGTGGGAGAGAAGGGGAGCGGGCGGAAAGAGGGGGGGTTGAGCCCTCGCCCCGGCACCAGCTGCAGCTGATCGACATTCACCCCCGTGAGAGAGGCTCTCCTGGCCGCGTATTCCCGTAGGGCCCTGTCAGGGAGAACACGGGGGAAAAAGAGCAGAAACAGAGGGGAGTGAGTGAGCTTTCGCCCCGGCACCAGCTGCAGCTGATCCACGCTCACTCCTGTGAGAGTAGCTCTCCTGGTGTCCGCATATTCCTGTAGGGCCCTGTCAGGGAGAACACGGGGGAAAAAGAGCAGAAACAGAGGGGAGTGAGTGAGCTTTCGCCCCGGCACCAGCTGCAGCTGATCCACGCTCACTCCTGTGAGAGTAGCTCTCCTGGTGTCCGCATATTCCTGTAGGGCCCTGTCAGGGAGAACACGGGGGAAAAAGAGCAGAAACAGAGGGGAGTGAGTGAGCTTTCGCCCCGGCACCAGCTGCAGCTGATCCACGCTCACTCCTGTGAGAGTAGCTCTCCTGGTGTCCGCATATTCCTGTAGGGCCCTGTCAGGGAGAACACGGGGGAAAAAGAGCAGAAACAGAGGGGAGTGAGTGAGCTTTCGCCCCGGCACCAGCTGCAGCTGATCCACGCTCACTCCTGTGAGAGTAGCTCTTCTGGTGTCCGCATATTCCTGTAGGGCCCTGTTGGGAGAGAGTGGGGACGCACGAGAAACGAGGTAGAGGGGGGAAGAGGGGGAAAAGAGGGGGGTGAGTCCTTGCCCCGGCACCAACTACAACTGATCCACACTCACTCCAGTCAGAGTAGCTCGCCTGCTGTCTGCATCCTCTTGTAGCGCCCTGTGAAGGGGGGAAGGAAGAAGGGGGACGAGAAGGGAAGGGGGTGTTGGCAACGGCTGGGATGTGAGTCCTCGCCCCGGCACAGCAGCTGATCCACGCTCACTCCGGTCAGAGTAGCTCGCCTGCTGTCTGCATCCTCTTGTAGCGCCCTGTTGGTGGTGGGGGTGGGGAAGAGTGGGGAAAAAGAGCAGGGAGTCCGAAAGGGGAGCGGGGTAAGCCCTCGCCCCGGCACCAGCTGATGCACCTTTTGATGCACCTTATATCATTATGGGGTGCATAGCTGCTTGCTCGAGAGCAGCAGATATGTATGAAGAAGTGTTTTGCGACGTCTCAAAACACTTCTTCATACTGGGAGCGGGGTAAGCCCTCGCCCCAGCACCAGCTGATGCACCTTATATCATTATGGGGTGCATAGCTGTTTGCTTGAGAGCAGCAGCGACTCCCTCCCAGTGCCTGTCTGTCCAGTCTTGCGTTTTGAGACGTCTCAAACTCAGTGCCTGTCCAGTCTTGCGTTTTGAGACGTCTCAAACTCAGTGCCTGTCCAGTCTTGCGTTTTGAGACGTCTCAAACTCAGTGCCTGTCCAGTCTTGCGTTTTGAGACGTCTCAAACTCAGTGCCTGTCCAGTCTTGCGTTTTGAGACGTCTCAAACTCAGTGCCTGTCCAGTCTTGACACGGCTTGCTCGCACTGCGGCACTCCACCACCACGCCTGTCGAGTTTTGACACGACTCAAAACCCCTAGTGTAGAAAGTTGATTTTTGAGACGTCTCAAAAATCAACTTTCTACCACCACGCCTGTCGAGTTTTGACACGACTGAAAACCCCTACACCCACACCCAACGCACCTGGCAATGGGGTGCGTGGCGGCTTACTCGAGAGCAGCAGCCACTGCCAGCGCCTCCGCCTCACAGCTCGCACTGCTGCACTCCACCACCACGCCTGTCGAGCCTTGACACGACTCAACATTCCCACACTCACCCATTCAACGCCCAGCCGAACGCACCTGGAAATGGGGTGCGTGGCTGCTTGCTCGAGTGCAGCAGCCACTGCAAGCGCCTCTGCCTCACAGCTTGCACTGCTGCACTCCACCACCACTCCTGTCTCCTCCCACTCGTGACTGTGTCTGCGCACTCCCCCTGTCCCCTCCATTGCACAGTCTTCCCAGAATTTCTCGCTTTCAACGAAATTAGGAGAGGAGGACGAGGAAGAGGCGGATGAGGAGGAGGAAGAGAAGGGAGAGGAGGTGGAGGAGGAGGGAGAGGAAGGTGTGGAGTCGGAGGGAGGGACGGGGGAGGAGGGGGTGAGGAGGGAGGGAGTGGTGTGCGGTGCGTGGGAGTGCAGAGGTTGGATGAAGCGCAGGGCGAGTTGGCCGGTGGTGAGCGTGCCGGTCTTGTCAAACGCCACTGTGTCGCACGCTGCTGTGGCGTCCAGGGCATGGCCGCCCTTCAGTAGAATGCCCTGAGCGGGGGAAGACGGGAGTAAAGTAGAGAGGGAGCAGGGAAGACGGTATGAGCTAACTAGAAACATATCCCAACGTGTTGCTGATGCTGTGGCGTCCAAGGCATGGCCGCCCGCCCTTCCAGAGATTCTAGAGTCGTCTCACCTTGCGCGCACATGCCGTCAAAGCACAGAAGTAGGCGAGGGGAGCAACAGCTAGAGCACAGGGGGACGCCGCCACCATCACTGCCAGTCTGCCAGTGCCCGGTACAGTGACCCCCTCACCCCTGGCGAGCTCAACACGACTTCTAGAGCTGCTAGGACTTCTAGAGAGTCTCACCTTGCCCACGCATGCTGTCAAAGCACAGAAGTACGCGAGGGGAGCGACAGCAAGAGCACAGGGAGATGCCGCCACCATCACTGCTAACGCCCGGTACAGTGACCCCCTCACCCCTGGCGAGCTCAAAAACGGCCAGCCGAACAGCACCGGGCCTAGCACAGCCAGTCCCACCGACAAGGTATTTTTTAGAATTCTCAAAAAATCCCCGGAGTGTTTCTAGGAACTCACCTTGGCTGCACAGGCAGTGAGAGCACAGAAGTAGGCGAGCGGAGCAACAGCGAGGGCACAGGGCGACGCCGCCACCATCACTGCCAGTGCCCGATACAGTGACCCCCGCACCCCTGGCGAGCTGAGCAACGGCCATCCGAACAACACAGGGCCTAGCACAGCCACTCCCACCGACAATCCCACCACGGCTTGACTGTATTTCTCGGAGAATTTATCCAGCCAGCGTTGGAGAGGCGGTTTTTGGGACCTGGCTTGCTCTGTGAGCTGCATTATGCGAGCCACGGTGGACTCGGACCATTTCCGGGAAGTTTCCACGACGAGGAAGCCGTCGACGGTGCGCGAGCCGCCCGGGAGGGTGTTTCCGGGAAGCTTCTCGACAGGGTGGGCTTCGCCGGTGAGGTGCTCTGTGGTGACGAGGGAGCGGCCGAAGCGGACGGTGCCGTCTAGAGGGACCACCTGATGGGTGGAGGAATGAGATGGGGGAGAAGAGACGAGGAGAGGGGGAGCAATGGCCTTCTAGTGGGGTGCTTGGTGCATATCACCCCATGAGGTGCTCTGCGGTGACGAGGGAGCGGCCGAAGCGAACGGTGCCGTCTAGAGGGACCACCTGATGAAAAGGGAAGGAGCAGCAGCAGCAGCAAAGGGGGAAGGAAGTGAATAAATAACACCCACTACATATCACCTGGTGAGGCGCTCTGTGGTGACTAGGGAACGGCCGAAGCGGACGGTGCCATCTAGGGGGACGACCTGAAGGGTGGGGGGAAAATATGAAAGAGCAGAGCAGCAGGGAAGGAAGAGAAAGGTAGGTGCCTGTGAGGTGCTCTGCGGTGACGAGGGAGCGGCCGAAGCGAACGGTGCCGTCTAGAGGGACCACCTGATGGGTGGAGGAATGCGATGGGGGAGAAGAGACGAGGAGAGGGGGAGCAATGGCCTTCTAGTGGGGTGCTTCGTGCATATCACCCCATGAGGTGCTCGGCGGTGACGAGGGAGCGGCTGAAGCGAACGGTGCCGTCTAGAGGGACCACCTGAGAGGGGGAGGGGAGATAAAGGGAAACTTAGGGCAGCAGGAGGAGGAGGAGGAGGAGGGGAGGGGTTGGTTGTTGTTGGGTTAGAACGGAGTCCCCAGGTCGTCCCTCTAGACGGTAGGGCAGCACTCACTCACCTCTCCTGCTTTGAACAGCACCATATTTCCCACAGGCACATCTGCTAACGGCACTTTGGACCATGAAAGAGCAGTCAAATCGTTCTGAGGCACATAGACACATGCACTAGTCTGTCTCCCTTTCACCTCTTTCACCCGTAGCACTCACCTCGCCCGCTTTGACCAGCACCATAGCCCCCACCGGCACATCTGCTACAGGCACTTCGGACCAGGAGAGGGCAGCCAGACCCGGAAACACCACCCCGCCTTCTCTCCTTTCGCTCCCACCGTCGCCGCTGCTGCTGCTGCTGCTGCTGCTGCTGCCGTTGCTGCTGCCGTTGCTGATGCTGCTGTTGCTGCCGCCACTGGCACCGTTTTCAGAAGCAGCAGCAGCAGTAGAAGCACCGACAGAAGAGAGGCACGAGGGATCGATGAGCAGAGCAGTGGAAGGGTTGTTGTCCTGCAGGGAGCGAAGGTCGCCCAGAGCCTTTTCGGTGAAATAATGCTCCGCTGGTGGGTGGGTGGAAAAGAGGATTGGTCATGGTAAGGGAAGAGGCACGAGGGATCGATGAGCAGAGCAGTGGAAGGGTTGTTGTCCTGCAGGGAGCGCAGGTCGCCCAGTGCCTTCTCCGTGAAATAATGCTCCGCTGGTGGATGGGTAGAAGTGGGGACGAAGGGGGGGCGGGGGAGGGGTAACGGAAGGGAAGGGGGAGGGGTGGATGAGGAGAGCAGGGGAGGGGTTGTTGTCCTGCAGGGAGCGAAGGTCGAAGACAGCCTTCTCTGTGAAATAATGCTCCGCTGGTGGATGGGTGAGTAGATGTGAGGGTTGAACGGGCGGGCGGGCTTGTGGTTACGTGCTGGCTTGCCCAACCCTCACATCTTTGCTGTGGTGGAGGATCGTTACGAGCTTGTGGTAAGGGTGGTAAGTTTTGAGTCGAGGCAAAATCAGGTGGTAACGTTTTTGCACTAATTCTAGAAGCAGAACGAGGAAGGGGGATGGGAGATGGCAGCGCACCTATATGGGAGATGGAGACCATGGCGAGCAGCAGAGTGCCTTCGAGTGCATTCCCCATGGCCACTGACGCCAGCGCTGCTGTTCACCCCGCACCCCCTGTATGGGCAATGAGTTGACTTTTGAGTCGACTCAAAAGTACCCTCGAGTGTATTCCCCGTGACCGCTGACGCCATGGTCTCCATCTCCCATATAGGTGCTCCGCTGCTGTTCACCCCGGCCCCCCTGTATGGGCAATGGAGGCGCACCTGTACGGCACACCTATATGGGTAAACGAGGCACACCTATGTGGGGTATCGAAGCGCACCTATATGGGAGATGGAGAACATAGCGAGCAGCAGAGTGCCCTCGAGTGCATTCCCCATGGCCGCTGATGCCAATGCTGCGACGGTCATGAGCACGTGGATGTTCACTGCCCCGCCTGCTATATCCACCAATGCATCCATGGTTGCTGGGATCTGGTAGGGAAGGAAAGTGTGGAGAGGGAGAAGAGAGAGTGTGTTCATTCATGCAGAAAGTGTGGCTGTGGGTGGGGAACGGTCATGAGCACATGTATGTTCACTGCCCCGCCTGCTATGTCCACTAGTGCATCCATGGTTGCTGGGATCTGGTCGCGTGGGGATTGGGAGGAAACGGGAAGCAGCTGAAACCAGGAAAAGCAGCGCACATGCCGACAGTGCTGCCACGGTCATGAGCACATGGATGTTCACTGACCCGCCTGCTATGTCCACCAATGCATCCATGGTTGCTGGGATCTGGGACGGAGGGTGGAAAGCGAAGGGAGGAAAAAGAGAGCAGCTGAGACCAGAAACAGCAGAGCACGTGACGCCAGTGCTGCAACAGTCCTGAGCACTGGATGTTCACCGACCCGCCTGCTATGTCCAGTAATGCATCCATGGTTGCTGGGATCTGAGGTGGGTGGAGAAGGGTGAGATGCGGTTAATACGTTGTTAATTCACAAAGGTAGTGGGACGGTGGGAGAAAGGTCTGTGCATTGCACAGTGCATTCACCAAGAGAGAGACATTGGGAGATAAGAGACACGTGCGCTTGCAGAAGACTTATTTTGAGACGTCTCAAAATAAATCTTCATACACGAGACATTGGGAGATAAGAGAGACGTGCGCTTGCAGAAGTGAGAGAGAGCGCAAAACCATTTACCAGGAGAGTGAGATTGTGATTGCAGAATTGTAGAATTGTGGGAGGAGATTAAAGGTACAGAGAGCAGCTTACAGCAGTGAGAGGGAAAGCTGCAGCAACAAGCCCCGTCTGCAGCATCTGCACCACCAACGGCTGGGATTGCATCTGGACAACGAGCGGCACAAGCAGCGGCACAGCGTAGGCAGCAAGGCAGAGCGCGAGGGAGAGAGAGGCGAGGGGCGCGCTCTCCCTCATGCGGTCGGCCAGAGGGGCGAGGCGGAGGAAGGAGAAGAGCGAGAGGAGGGCGCGCTGGGCTGCGTTGAGGGTGGTGGGCGATGGGCAGCAGTGGTGGTGGTGATGGTGGTGGCCGTGGCTGTGGGAATGGTCGTGGGAGTGGGCATGGGCATGACTGTGGTCATGCGCATGTGCATGGTCATGGTCATGGTCATGGTCATGGTCATGGTCATGGTCATGGTCATGGTCATGGTCATGGGAGTGGGTATGGGCATGACTGTGGTTGTGGGCATGGTCATGGGTGTCGTTATGGCTGTGGGCATGGTCATGCGCATGGTGGGCATGGGCATGGTTGTTATGGCTGTGGTTGTTATCGGCATGGGCATGGGCATGGGCATGGGCATGGTCATGGTCATGGTCATGGTCATGGTCATGGTCATGGTCATGGTCATGGTCATGGTCATGGTCATGGTCATGGGCATGGGGTTGCTGCTCGCCTTGATGATGGTGTTTATGATGGGACGCATGTGCTTCGGGGGCATGTGAGTGCGTGTGCTCATGATGCTCATGATGCTCATGATGCGCATGGTTGCTACGGTCGTGGGCATGGCTATGTGCATGGCCATGATGCTCATGATCATGATCATGATTCTCCGTGTGCTGATCCTGATGCTCACGATGGTGCTTATGCTCATGGCGATCCTCCTCATGCTCATGGTTGTGCGTATCAATGGCAACAGCACTCTGAGCATGTGCATGGCTCGTATGCCCATGCCCATTTTCATGGCCGTGCCCATGCCCATGATCATCCGGCCTCTCCTCATGCCCATGACCAATCCCTCTCGCCTTCGTCTCTCCCTCCCCCGCATTAGTCACCAAATCCCCAGCGCGAACGCCATCTGCACCACCAGCGCCTGCGCTACTGTGACATCGGATATTAGCACGCCTGCGCGCGCCGGCCCTCGCGCCCAGTACAAGCGTCCCCGTTATAAGCAAGCCCGACGTTTCGGTGCAGCTGCGAATCCCTGAGAGCTCCTGCTTTTGGTGGGGAACCAACAACCTTGGAGCTGGCAGGGAGGTGTTTTTATGATTTCTCGAAAACGGGTAGGAGAAAGTCGCGCGGAGCCTGCCCGGTGTTCGAACGGGCAGCGAGGAAAAAAATCTGATTCCCGTGGAGCGGAGGTGCTGGTGAGAGGCTTGAGAGGGGACCGCGAATCGATGCGACTTGCTGATTCGACACGCCGCGACGGTGCTGCTGCTGCTGCTGCTGCTGCTGCTGCGAGAGCACACGAGGGGCGCGTGCGACGCGTGCGACGCGTGCGACGTGTGCGAGAATCGTGTCCGTGCTTTAGGCTTGAACATTCTCGCTGCTGACCAAATCAACGGCGCGGCGCTGGCGGAACGAGACACTGACGCAGCCATGGCAACGGCTGCTGGTCCTGTGAGACTCTCTCTCGCTTTCGCTGCTACCTGTCTAACGAGGAGAGAGAACGAGAGGAATTAAGTAAAATGAAATGGAGGGGGATGGTGCCGACTGATCAGACGTCTCAGAACTTGACGGCCATGAATGGTTCTCCTGATACTAACTTCGTAGCAGCTGGGATGACATACGAATCCACGGCACTATTCGTGCATCAGGAACGGATGAAAACGTGATTCGCAGTACCCGGTCCTCGCGAATGGCGTGCATGGTAGTGTAACCAGTGAATCGCGCTAATGCGACATTACTGGAGTCCATGGATTTCCGAAGTCGAGTTCACGACGCGCCGCGTGGCAGCCATGGCTGCCAGATGAAGCGCAAAATTCGGGTTTCTAGGGCATCAGGAATCACAAAACAAAGACTTGTGGATGGGATGTGGCAGAACCTAATAGGTCGGCAGCCATGGCGGAAACATTTTAGCTCCAGAAAACCTTAGGGGGGAAAAAAGGAATCGTACGGGACGTACAAAACAAAAGCGCAGGTGTTGGTGATCAGGTACATTCACGAAAAGAGTTGGCGAAATAATTTGCGCTTCGTCCAGTGCGGATTAGCCTTCGCGACAAGATTGATGGTAACAAGGTTGAAGTGCCAGTTCAATCGCTGAGTGCATTTTGTGTAGAGTAAATCCCATGCCTGCAACTGGAACATCAATCAGATGCCCGGTCAGCTAAAATAGTTCCGTTTGAATCCCAACTGCCAATCAGCAGAACTAGCCTAGTTTCTAGCCAATCGAATCTTTCTCGAACGTGACCCAGACTTCTGGACAAGTGGGGGAAAAATCCCAACCTCCGTAAGGAAAAGTGTCGGCCCAAGAGAAGCCCCATATGCCGAAACAGCTACTCGAGGTAATTCCGTCATAAGCTAAAGAGATTAACTTCTACTGACCTAACACAAACCATAAGTGTTAGTCTTCTAGGTATATGGACCTGTAGCAAGATTAGTTCATGCGTCGGCAACACATCCTGCCCTCACAGCAATCCATATCTGATGTGAAGTTCCTTGCCCAACAGCTTATCACTCGTCAATGGTTTGGCCAAGCCATGATCGACCCCGGGAGCGAGATGTGTTGGTGCGGGAATTGATGCTTGCACATCTTAGTAGCTTCTGGAACTCGGGCAGGCTGATTCTGCCATCCCCGTCCGTGTCGGCTTCTGCTATCAGGTTATCCAACGGAAAATTAACTTGGGCAGCCTGGTGTATTGACAAGGTGGTAAAATATGGGAAAGGAGAAACACAGATGTGCTTGCATTTGTTAACATGAACTGGGGAAAGCTTAGCCCCTACCAGTGCTATGGAGAGGCAGGAGCAGGCCGGGGGGGAAAGAATGTGTGAAGCACTGAGACTTAATACAGTTACTTGTAAGCCACTTATCACTCGCAGCTCCTCTGCATCGTGTACCTGCCGTTGTCGGGGTCAGCACTAAAATGTCAGCCGTTGAGCCGTTGCCGTTGGACTTGAATACCCGTTAACAAGTCGGCAGTCTCTCACCATGCGCAGCTCCTCAGCGTCGATGTACCCGTCGTTGCGCGGTCAAACTGAAAGGCTGCTGACAACCAGGATGAGACCTAACTGTACCGCACTCAACACATCCTCACCATGCGAAGCTCCTCAGCGTCGATGTAACCATCGTTCTCGCGGTCAAACTTGGCAAAAGCCGCTCGCGAGCGCTCCTGCCACTTGGTGGAGTCGGCCTCCTGAGATAAGATGGAACCTACCTGTACCGCACACAACCCCTTACTTACCATCCTCAGCTCCTCCGCATCGATGTACCCGTCGTTGTCGCGGTCAAACTGGGCGAATGCGGCTCGCGAGCGCTCCTGCCACTTGGTGGAGTCGGCCTCCTCCAGCTGCTGCACGTGCAGCGTTGCTGCCACAAATTCATCAAAGTCAATAATCCCGTCACAGTTGGTGTCCATCTGGGGGCAGGGTGGATGGAGAGGGGGAAGAAATGAGGCTTATGGGATGCTCCTGCCACTTGGTGGATTCGGCCTCCTCTAGCTGCTGTGCACGTGCAGCGTTGCTGCCACGAACTCGTCGAAATCAATAATCCCATCGCAGTTGGTGTCCATCTGAGGGGGGAAACGGGGGGCAGGGATGGTTGGAGGATTCGCAAGGCCACGCAAACGACAGAGGCACTGAGGCGTCTCAAAAAGGGAGTCCCAAATCCGGGTGTTCTCCAAACGGGGTCTGAGGGAATGCAGTAAGCCCTCGCTTGGAGAATTTGCAGCACGGAAGACTCCTTCTGAGGTGTCTCATGCCTCAAACCACGGAACGCATTGGCTTTGAGAGGCTAGGCTTTTATCATCTATCACATTAGGGGTGCTCACCGCTTGGAGGATCTGCAGCACTCTCGACTCCTTCACTTCAAATGGCAGGTCGTGACTTAGTGCCTGAGATGGGGAGGGGCAAGAAAAGAGAGAAGGAAAGAGAGGAGGGAAGGGGGGAAAAGACAAAGGGCCTGATTCAGTGCCTGATGAAGGGGATAAATAGAAAGAGGGAATTTTGAGTCGACTCAAAAATCGACTCACTACACGCAGTGCCTGATGAAGGTGATAAATAGAAAGAGGGAACGGAAGAGAAGGGAGAGAAAGGGGAGAGAGAAAGAGGGGAGGGAAAGAAGGGGTGGGGAAGAAAGTGGGGACGGCGAGAAGGGGAGGGAGAGGGGAGGGAGAGAAGGGGGAGGGAAAAAGAGGGTAGGGAGAGAAAGGGGAGGGGCTGGGATCTGTGAAGAGGAGAGGGGGGGGAGAGATACAGGAGGTTGACTCCTTCACTTCAAATGGTGGGGGCTGTGACTCAATGTATGACAACGAAAAGAGGGGGGGGGGGGGGGGGGGGACGAGGGAAACAGAGGAAGGGAAGAGAAGAGACCAGAATAGCATTTAAATCTCGCTGGTCTTCCCCCCTCTCACGATTCCTGAGAATTCTCAAAAATCACTCCCATCTCGCTAGTCTTCCCCCCTCTCACGATTCCCCCATTTTCCTCCTCCCTACCCCCTCACCTGTCTGATCTCATCGACCGTGATGGTGCCATCCTTGTTAATGTCCATCGCATTGAACTGGTCTCTCAATGCCTGCACCTCCAGCCCTTGGCCCACCCCAGCCCTAAACCGCGTGCATTGAGGTGTGTTTTGAGGCGCCTCAAAACACACCTTTTAGCCCACCCCAGCCCTAAACCCACCCACCCACTCTCCACTCACTTCTCCTCATCCCTCGTTCCCATCCCTCATCTCCCTCCATCCCTCCTCCCCCCCCTCACCTGTCTGATCTCATCGATCGTGATGGTGCCATCCTTGTTGATATCCATCGCATTGAAATGGTGCCTCAGCGCCTGCCATCTCAGCTTCTTCCTTTCATCTGACCCCCTGGTCCCCGTTTCTCCCCTCTCTCCTTAACCTCCCACCTTCCATTCCCTCTCCCCATCGCCCCCCTCACCTGTCTGATCTCATCAATCGTGATGGTACCATCCTTGTTAATGTCCATCGCGTTGAACTGATCCCTCAACGCCTGCACCTCATTCTCCTCCAGTGTTGTCGCAAGGGCCTGTGGGAAGGCAGAGAAGGGAGAGCGTGGGCGAGGGTGTGTTGGGTGGCGGGGATGGCGAGCAGGAAGGAAGAAGCCGGGGATTGAGCAGGGCAGAAAAGTCCATTGCTGCTCAAGTGGACCAACTGACTGAGTTGAGATGGTCCTTCAAAACCTGCACTTCTGCCTGCCCCCTCTTCACCTGCCTGCCTGCCTGCCCCCTCTTCACCTGCCTGCCTGCCTGCCCCTTCTTCACCTGCCTGCCTGCCTGCATGCCCCCTCTTCACCTGCCTGCCTGCCTGCATGCCCCCTCTTCACCTGCCTGCCTGCCTGCATGCCCCCTCTTCACCTGCCTGCCTGCCTGCATGCCCCCTCTTCACCTGCCTGCCTGCCTGCCCCCTCTTCACCTGCCTGCCTGCCTGCATGCCCCCTCTTCACCTGCCTGCCTGCCTGCATGCCCCCTCTTCACCTGCCTGCCTGCCTGCCTGCCCCCTCTTCACCTGCCTGCCTGCCTGCCTGCCCCCTCGTCACCTGCCTGCCTGCCTGCCTGCCCCCTCTTCACCTGCCTGCCTGCCTGCATGCCCCCTCTTCACCTGCCTGCCTGCCTGCCCCCTCTTCACCTGCCTGCCTGCCTGCCCCCTCTTCACCTGCCTGCCTGCATGCCCCCTCTTCACCTGCCTGCCTGCCCGCCTGCCTGCGTGCCTACGAGCGTGCGTGCCCGCGCTCATACCTTGAGCGCCATCTGCTTGAGGCGAGAGTACTTGACGAACTCGCGCATGTTGGACAGCACTGCTATGTCCAGCGGGACATGGGGGATGATCCCTCTCGCCTTCAACACCACACCTGCCTGACGGTGTGCGTGCTTGCATGTGTGCCTGCTTTTGTGTGCTTGCCTGTGTGCGTGCCCCCTCTCACCTTGAGCGCCATCTGCTTGAGGCGCGAGTACTTGACGATCTCCCGCATGTTGGAGAGCACTCTGTGACGTCTGAGTGATGGCTCAATGAACCAGAGAGACCAGCCGTGTGGCACTGCCCATCAGCTACACACACAGACATCCCCCATCTCACCTTGAGCGCCATCTGCTTGAGGCGCGAGTACTTGACGAACTCGCGCATGTTGGACAGCACACCCAAGAAGAGGGAGGGATGGCTCGCCCAACCAACGCACCAGCAGTGTGGCATGACGGCATCACAGCAAGCAGCAAGTAGCAAGCAGCAAGCCCACCTTGAGCGCCATCTGCTTGAGGCGCGAGTACTTGACGAACTCGCGCATGTTGGACAGCACTGCTATGTCCAGCGGGACTGACGAAGCATCGCCCCCCTCCTTCACCCACTTGTGTGCTGAAAGGTGGGGGGGTGTGGGAGGATTGTAAGTGGCCAGGAGAGTGGGGAGGCCGTCACGGGCTGTTTGAAAGCATGGTCGGAATCTGTTGGATTCGAAACGCAGCAAGCCTGCTAAGAGTAACGATCTGTAGTACTAAGTCTACTAATCTGAAAGTGTAGGGCTGTTTGAAAGCATGGTCCTCTGTGCAATGCAATGTCTAGAGGCTCTGATGAGGTCCTCTGTGCAATGCAATGTCTAGAGGCTCTGATGAGGTCCTCTGTGCAATGCAATGTCTAGAGGCTCTGATGAGGTCCTCTGTGCAATGCAATGTCTAGAGGCTCTGATGAGGTCCTCTGTGCAATGCAATGTCTAGAGGCTCTGATGAGGTCCTCTGTGCAATGCAATGTCTAGAGGCTCTGATGAGACGACATGTCGCCTCCCTCCTTCACCCACGAGGCTTGGGCAGCAGTGGGGCACTCACACAAGGCTTGGGCGGCAGTGGGGCACTCATACAAGGCTTGGGCGGCAGTGGGGCACTCATACAAGGCTTGGGCAGCAGTGGGGCACTCACACAAGGCTTGGGCGGCAGTGGGGCACTCATACAAGGCTTGGGCGGCAGTGGGGCACTCATACAAGGCTTGGGCGGCAGTGGGGCACTCATACAAGGCTTGGGCGGCAGTGGGGCACTCACACAACGCTTGGGGCACTCACACAATGCTTGGGCGGCAGTAGGTCATGCAGTCACACACACACAGCACATCTAGCAGGCAGCACGTTCACTCACACAAGGCTTGTGCGGCAGTGGGTCAGGAGCGGGGGTCCTTCTTGAGAAGCTTCTTTACAATCGCATGGCGGTGGTAGTCAGGATAGTGCTCTGTCCCCCCACCCCAAGGATGCACATGCGCTAACTCACACGCAACAAAGCACATTTTGCAGACAGCGCGTTGACTCACACAAGGCCTGGGCGGCAGTGGGTCGGGCGCGGGGGTCCTTTTTGAGAAGCTTCTTGACAAAGGCCTTGGCGCTGGCAGTGCGGGTTAGTGCACTCACCTCACACCAAGCACACTTGGTACAGGATGCGCTCACTCACACAAGGCCTGGGCGGCAGTGGGTCGGGCGCGGGGGTCCTTCTTGAGAAGCTTCTTCACAAAGTCCTTGGCGCTGGACGACACATTAGGCCATGGCTTCTCCCTGAAGTCAGGCCGCTTCTTCAGCACCTGAAGGGTGGTTATGAGCGGTAAGGAACGGTTAGGAGACGGTGAGGAGCGGTATTGAGTTGTGATGAGTGGTGATGAGTGGTGGTGGGGAGAGGGGAAGGCATGGTGACGGGGACAAAGTCCTTGGCACTGGATGACGCGTGCGGCCATGGCTTCTCCCTGAAGTCAAGCCGCTTCTTCAGCACCTGATTGAATATCCATGCCTGAGTTCTATCCCAGAAGGCCGCCTTCCCGACAGCAGAATGCACGTGATCACGCCGATGCTCCACATGTCACTCTCCCTCTCTCTTAACCCCCTCCCACCACTGTAGCTCTTTCCCTTTCATCTCACCTCATTGAAGATCTCCACCTCCGTTCTATCCCAGAAGGTCGCCTTCCCGACAGCAGAATGTACGTGATGACCCCGATTCTCCACACGTCACTCTCCCTCTCTCACCTCCTACCACCTATTCCTCCCCACCACTCTCCCCCATTCTCCTCCATCACTCTCTCCCATTCACCCCCCCAAGTCTTTCCCCTCCTCACCTCATTGAAGATCCCCGCCTCCGTTCTATCCCAGAAGGGTCGCCTCCCTGACAGCAGAATGTACGTGATGACCCCGATGCTCCACACGTCACTCTCGGGCCCCGACCGCCGCTTTAAAACCGGAGGGCCAAGAAGGCCTACATTGGTTCAACCTTCCTAACTTCGGTTGAGTTTGGCCCGGGCACCCAAAATCTTGGCCAATTGCATTGCTCGCCCCAACCAACCTTCCTAAGGTTGAACTTCTTGGCCCGCGGGTTTTAAGCTCCTTTATCCCCCTCACCCCTCTCCACCAGCCCTCACCGCTCTCCACCTCTCTCACCTCGTTGAATATCCCCGCCTCCGTTCTATCCCAGAATGGCCGCCTCCCTGACAGAAGAATGTACGTGATAACCCCGATGCTCCACACGTCACTCTCCGGCCCCGACCGCCGCTTGAGCACCTCAGGTGCGACGTAGTAGGCGCTTCCCACCACGTCTGTGAAGTGTTTGCCTGGGGAGGGAAAAAGAGGAGAGATAAAGGGGGTTGTGGGGGTCTGTAAAGTGCTTGCGTGGAGGGAGAAGAAGACGAGGGGAGATGGGAGAGTTGTGAGAAAGGAACACATGCGCCAATAGCACTCACACACCCGGCATTGCCATACCCACGTGCAGCACTCACCGGGTTTTCTGAAATCCGAGAGGCCAAAGTCGGTGGCTTTAAGGAGCGCGTCCTCTGCCTTGGACTTGAAGAGAAAGTTCTGAAGAGTGAGGTGGGAGACGGGCGGAAGGGAGAGGGGTGGAGGATATTCGGGAAGAGTAGGGGTAGAGGGGGAAGGGGGAAAGGGTGGGGGAGTAAGGGAGGAGGGGGAAAAAGGCAGGGAGGTGAATGACGCTGTGCGTTTGGTGGCACTTGGACACGCCACTCAGCGACATTGTGTTGTGCGCCCTACGTCGCTCTTTCTTCACGCCCGTCCCTCCCCTTGCCTCTCCTTGTACCTCTCTCTCTCGCACCTCGGGCTTCAAGTCATGATGCACGACCCCATGCAGGTGGCACTGGGCCATTTTTGAGTCCTCAGCATCCGGTGGTATGCGTCTCATGCCTCTCTGGATTCAAACCCGTCCATACCCTCCTTCTCTCCCTTTCATGCCCGTCCCTCTCTCACCTCGGGCTTTAAGTCGCGGTGCACGACCCCGTGCAGATGGCACTTGGCCACCACGCTCAGCATCTGCCGCACCACCCCTGCTGCATCCTTCTCTGAATACCGGTTCTCCCGCCTGCTCGCATATGAAGGAAAGAAAACACATACAAGTACAAACAAGGGGGCGTCGGGGAGGGAGGAGGGGGGCAAGGGGAGGGGGAGGGCGAGGGGGAGGGGGGTGTGGATGGGGAGTGGGAGGGTCGAGGGGGATGGGGATGGGGATGGGGATGGGGATGGTGAGGGTGAGGGCGAGGGGGATGGAGAGGGCGAGGGGAAGCGACAGGGTGAAGGAGATAGCATGCCACAATCAACCATAACGGCTCATTATGCATGCTTCGGATAATACAGCTGACTTCCATTCCTCCCCCCATGCCCCAACCCACACTCCCTGATCCCCCCATTCCCACTCCATCCCGCTATCATCGCCCTTCCCTCCCCTTGGTTGTCTCACATTCCGCCCCGGCGTCCGCGCCGTGCTTCCTTCGTTTCCGGTCCCCTTTTGAGTTTACTTCTCACTAACTTAATTTCCATATCCTTAGTTTTTTCTGTTCTACAATCTTACTTGCTAAGGATTCGGTCAAGGAGTTCGCCACCCTCACAGATTCTGCCATGGAGGAAGGGAGGGGAGAGTGAGCGGATGGGGGGAGAGGATGGGAGAAGAGGAGAAGAGCGGTCAGGAGGGGCCGGAGAAGGGAGGAAAGGGGAGCAATCAAATGTAAAAGAGGAGGAAAGAAGGGAGGGCGGTGGGAATGACGTGAGAGGATGCGTCATATCCGCCACAATGCACTCACTCCATGCAGACAGACATACACGAAGTCGCTGTTCTGAAACACATTAACAAAACTGCACCTCATTACACTCCATACCCGCTATAGTCTACTCCATGCAGATGTACACAAAGTCGGTGTCCTCGAAAACATCGATAAACGCACCACGTTGGGATGGCCCGACAGCAGCTTCATTATCGCCACCTCAGTACACTCCATACCCGCTATAAGCACTCACTCCATGCAGATGTAGACAAAGTCGGTGTCCTCAAACACGTCAATGAACTGCACCACGGTGGGATGGCCTGACAGCTTCATTATCGCCACCTCACTACCATACCCGCTATAGTGTCACTCCGTACCAGCTAATGCACTGCACTCACTCCATGCAGATGTACACAAAGTCGGTGTCCTCAAACACGTCAATGAACTGCACCACGTTGGGATGGCCCGACAGCAGCTTCATTATCGCCACCTCCCTCCGCACGTCCTCCACTGCTATAGGCAGCTTCATCTGTGGGCGGGGAGATGGTGGTTGGGGAGAGGGGGGAATGGGATGGGGGGGAAACGGGGGGGGGGGAGAAGGGGACCGGAGAGAGTAGTGGGATTTGAGAACTGTGTTGAAACCGCAGCTTCATTATCGCCACCTCCCTCCGCACGTCCGCCGCTGCTATAGGCAGCTTCATCTGTGGGTGTGGTGGAGAGATGAGTGGTGGGAGAGTTATGGGGGGAAAAGACGTTACATGTCGATATGCTACTAATCTCTAATTGTTTTTGTCGTTTTGAGACATGTCGAAACACATGCCACTCGCGTCATGATTCGTTATTAGCACCTCCTTTGAATACGCACCTGCCAATCGCGCGCCGGTAAATGTTGAATTGACCCAGCTTGCTCCTTTCACTCTCGCTCTGCGCAACTGCTTCGTTACAAGCACCTGCTTCATTGTACGCCTTCTTCGTTACACGCACCTGTTTCATTATACGCACTTCCTTGTTCTCGATCGCTTTCGCTGCCACCCGCTCGCCTGTGGCTAGTTGAATCGACTCGTACGTCGTGCCGAATTGCTTCATTATACGCCTGCCTCATTACACTCACCTGCTTCATTATACGCCTGCGTCGTTACACGCACGTGCTTCGTTATACACAACCTGCTTCTTCTCAATCGCTTTCGCTGCCACTCGCTCGCCCGTGGCTAGTTGAATCGACTCGTACGTCGTGCCGAATTGCCCGTGACCCAACTTGCTTCTTTCACTCTCGCTCTACCGCTTGCCTCATTATACGCCTGCCTTGTTACACTCACCTGTTTTATTATACGCCTGCTTAAAACGCACCTGCTTCTTCTCAATCGCTTTCGCTGCCACCCGCTCGCCGGTGGCTAGCTGAATCGACTCGTACGTCGTGCCGAATTGTCCGTGACCCAGCTCTCTGCCCAGCTTATAGTGCGCCTCAAAGTCTCGTTTATAGCCGAAGTCCGTTCGCAACCCTAACGGGATGGTCGTGTCGTTCTTGTCGTACTTGGCAAATTGTAACGCGGCTCCGTCGACTGCGGCAGCAGCACCCGCGTTATTTTCCGCTTCTTTCCCCGCTGATGTTCCTGTTGGTCTACTCGCATTTGCATCTGATCCTGCGGCTGCCCCTGCTCCTTCTGCTGCTCCCCCTGCTGTTCCTGCCGCTTCCGCGCCTCCCGCTCCTCCCACCCCATCTGAACCCTCATTTCCACCTTTCCCTGGACTTGACGGCCCGGCAGCTTTCACTTCGTCTGTACTTGCCGGCTTCGCGTGCACGGCAGCCGGAGCCGTCTGAGTTGCGTCGGCACCGGCTGGCGGTGCTTTGGACGCGTCACGCGGCCGCTCCTTGCTCTTCGACAAGCACGAGCCCATGCTGCTGGTTCCCTACTGGTTCCTAACCTAGCGCTCGCGCAGTAATTTAATAGTAGTGTTCGTGGCCTAGCGTCTATAGTCGCCGTATCAATAAATAAATACGGAACGCGCAAGCTCCTTTCTGACCCAGACAATGCCTGGGAACTGAGCTGAACAGTGCGTGCACCGCTGGTCCTATTTTTTGTCTACGAACGCAAATGTACAAGGTCAACGAAAACTCTACGATAACTTTTTCTAGAACCTTTCTGACCTAGATTGTGCGAGGTCAATCTCGGTTTCCGACATTGACGGGAAAATGAAAAGATGAAGCCAGCCGTTTCATTATTCGGGAGCACATCTCAAGTCCTCCACTCCAGTGCCGATTTCGTGACTCAACAAGAGCAGGCGCTTTTCAATCCTCCCAGTGTCAGTGCGATGATGCGAGGTAAACGTAAGTGATAGTGCTCACTGCACAGTATACGGTAAAGTTGAGTTCACCTAAAATATACAAGGACACGGCTATTCTGTTGGACGCGAAGAGGAATCAGAGCAATAGTGTGTAGATACTCGAGAATCAAACAGGGTGAACTCTGGATCATGGAGGATGTCCAAACGAAGGAAACGACTTGTGACCGTTTTTGAAAGTCCAATTTGTGAGGTGGAGAGACTGTTCGGTTCAGGGAAACATCAGAATTGTTGACAAATGAACTGTTTGCGGAAGAACTGTAGGCGGAAAAGCTGTGGCCGGAAGGGCTGTGGGTCGTGGCCAGACGGAAAAAATGCAGGCGCAAACACAGTCGGCCGGTTAGTGTATCGTCGTCTTCTCAAAGACCATCTGCGAGGGGGACCAAACGGAACGGTTGCCGCTGGAGCAGAATCTGCCACAGTTTCTGTCGAACTTTACTCCAAGAAACAAGAGGGACATGAAGGCTGGAGTGGCGTGCTCGAGAATAAACGGTGGGTCGCCGAATGGGCAGCTAAAACGTCTGCAAACGGTTGCTAGAAACGAGAGAGCGGTAGGATTTGACTGGCGGGAGAGGGAAGGGAGGAGGGGATATCCCGGGAAGCTGTCTCAGGATGGAGGGAAGACGGGCCAATAGGAGGGGGGAAGGAAGGTAAATGGATGGGTGGTTGCGCGGGTGCGGGGAAACTGAAGGCTTTCGTAGCGCTCCGAGGATATTCGTCAACCGCCGACGCACTTGCTTGGGGGGAGTTCGAGAAGAAATTCCGTGTCGCCCACTGGCAAAGTCTTTCGTGGAATTGGGGGGACCGTTTTATGTTTGACACTGTTACGAGTGCAATTGAGTGAACAAACGAGAATTGCACTATCGAAGCAAGAATACAATGAGCGAAGGCATGAGCGAAGAATATATAGCGAAACTACAGTGGTAACGGTAATGAGCTGTGGTTGTCGCGTGACGGGCCTGGGACTGAGGTTGGGAAAAGTGTCGAAGCGGAGGCCCGGAGCGCGGGTTACCCGCCGAGCCGTGAGGTCGGGGTGCGACGTGCGAAGGTGGCGGGAGGATTGTCGATACGAGAGTTGCGAGTGGTAACGGTGCTGACTGTGGGGCTACAGTGGTGTACGCGCTGAGCGGGGACGCGAAGTAAGGAAAAGGAATTTTCCTTACACTACCCCCCCCCCCCCCCTAAGGAGGTCCTCCTTACGAAAGTGCGTGTACATCCCTGAAGTTTCGGCTGCGCGGATACTCGGTGAGGACGGGGTGGTTTTCGATTCTGTCCAGGGGAACCCAGTTGTCTTCGGTGGGTGTACGGTCTTTCCAACGGATCAGGAACTCGATCCTTCGGGCTCCTCGAGGGTCACGAACTCGGTGGCTCAGGATTCTTACGGGGGTGATGATTGGTTCAGTTGGTGGTCGTGTCATGCTGGCTGGGCGAGTGCGTGGCAGTTGGCTCGTGGACGGGACGTAAGGGCGAAGCAGGCTGACGTGGAATGAGGGGCTGACGTACCAGTCAGCAGGGAGGAGGAGGTGGGCGGTGACAGGTGTGATCATGTGGCTGATGCGAAATGGTCCACAGTATCGGAGGCGGAGTTTTGGGGTGATGGGCAGGCGGAGGTTCTGGGTGGGTGTCAAGTAAAACCAGGTCGTCGGGCTGGTAAGTGACAGGTCTGCGGTGGCGATCGGCGTTACGTTTAGCGATGATGTTGGATTTTTTTATTGCATCTGCTGCCCGGGTCCGTGCTGCTTGTAATATTTCGGCGAACTGTTGCGCTCGTGGTACTGGGTTGTCGGGATTCGGGGTCATGGGTACTGTCGGGTCTTGTCCGTAGTTTAGGTAAAATGGTGACTGTTGGGTCGTGGCGGATGGCGAGTTGTTGTACGCGAATTCGATGAGTGGCAGATGCTGTTCCCACGTGGCCGGGTCGTCGCACGTGGCCCTGATGAGCTGTTCCATGGTCTGATTTGTCCGTTCTGTCTGTCCGTCCGTTTCGGGGTGGTATGATGAACTGAACTGCAGTCGCGTGCCGAACTGCTGCCACAGGTTCCGCCAGAAGTTGCTGGTGAATTTCGTGTCGCGGTCGCTGATTATTGCTGCTGGTATCCCGTGCAATCGAACGACGGTGGAGACGAAGAGTCGTGATGTTTCTTCGGCTGTGATTTAATTTTTGCAGGCTGCGAAATGTGCCATTTTCGTCAGTCGATCGACGACGACCAGGATCGCGTCGTTCCCACTCGCCCCGGCCGGTAACCCCGTGACGAAGTCCATCGTCACCTGCTGCCAAGCACGCTCTGGAGGTGGTATCGGCTGCAACTGTCCTGCCGGCCGCTGCCTTGATGATTTCATAAGCTGACAAGTGGGACACGATGCCACGTGTCGTTGTACGTCGGTCAACATTTCGGGCCAGTAATAATACCGCTGCAGCTGCTGCCGTGTTTTTTCTACTCCAAAATGCCCCGAGGTAACTCCGTCATGTGCATCCTGTAACAGTAATTCTCGTAGCAGTGTATACCCAGGCACCCAAATGCGATCAGTCCCGGCTTTTACGTAATAGACTCCCCTTGCTGTTGCGAACTGCTGCGAATTTCCTCCTGTGAAGAATGGGTCGGTTTGGTACCCGTGGGTAAATAGGCCTGTCACTAGTGGGCTTGTCTGGGCGAGTAGTATTGCGTGGATCTGGGCGGTGGGGCGGGTCAGTGCGTCGGTGATGTTCGAGGCTCCCTTTTTGTAGGTGACCGTGTAGTGAAAATTTGACTCGAGGAAGTCGAGCCAACGAATCTGTCGTGGGTTGAGGTGTGGTTGTGCGCAGAGGTACTGTAGTGATTTATGGTCTGTCCGTACTGTCACGTCTGCGCTGGTCAAGTAACAGCGCCACACTTTGAACGCGTGCACGATCGCAAGCATTTCGCGGTCGTGTATCGGGTAATTTTTTTTGGGCGCATGTAGTTTTCGTGACTCGTATGCGATGGGCTGTAGGCCGTTGCCGAAGTCTTGTAGCAGTACGGCTCCGATGGCGATGTCGCTGGCGTCAGTAACTACTTCGAATGGGCGGTGTGGGTCAGCAATGCGTAGGACGGGCAGTGAACAGAGAACAGTTTTCAGGGCAGAGAAGGCAGCATGCTCTTTCTCCCCCCACGTAAAAGCGACCCCCTTTCGTAATAAGTCCGTCAGTGGCGCCGTCAACCGTGCCATGTCGGGGACGAATCGACGCACGTAGTTTACGAACCCTAAGAAACTCTGCAGTTCCGTAAGATTCGTCAGGGGGTGCCAGGCTTTTACCGTGTCTAATTTCTTTGGGTCAATTTCGATCCCAGCCTCCGAAATAACGTGCCCCAAAAACTCTAACCTGTCCTGAAAGAACTCGCACTTGGAACCCTTTGTCAGTAGCCGATGCTCGTCTAAAATCTTAAATACTGCTTCCAGATCTGCTAAGTGTTGTTGCTTGTCGCGACTGTAGACGAGGATGTCGTCGAGGTAAACGATCACGCATTTATCTAAAAGCGGCCTAAACGCCTCGTTCATGGTCATCTGAAAAGTCGCCAGTGCGTTGGTCAGCCCGAATGGCATCACAGTGTACTCGAACGACCCGTACCTAGTCCTGAAAGCTGTTTTGGCGCAGTCCGATGGTTCGACCCTAATCTGATGGTAACCTCCCCAAAAATCTATTTTCGAAAAAACCCGTGCTGTTCGCAGTTGGTCGATCAGTTCGTCGGCGCGGGGAATGGGGTACCGCAACTTGACTGTTACCCTGT